TTTTATAATAAATGTTTTTTTAATACATTTTCAACACAAAGTGGGGTAGCGCAGAAGGGCTATTAGTCTCAGAACGGCATTTTGTGGCATTTCCATATAAACGCCGAAACACTTTTCAAATTTTGCCATCAAATGTTCTCCTCCTGTTTTATATTTAAAGAAACTAAATAATGAAGAATTTGTATGAATGTATGTTATGTTTCTTGCATTGTGAAAAAAGCGGGGGGTACCTAGAGCCATCGAATTTTAAATAACGTAATCGTCCACCCGAACATGGAACACCTGGACGCCTGACTTTTCAAGTTGTTTTTATTGTGTATTTCCTATTTTATAAAACTTTAACGAATTTTGATTAACAAAGTATTTTATCTCCAGTCTATCGGAAATTCTAAAGATAGGCTGATTTTAAATATTTTTAACCAAAATGCTCTAGAAACGTGTATGCGTATGTAAATTTAAAAAAACGATCCCTGTCGCGGTAATATAAAATTTGAAAGTGTTCAGATTTTTTAAATATATCTTTTAGTAGTTATGATACTTTATCAATGAAATTATTCAATTAAAAACCATTTTTCGGCATTCAATAATTATTATTTTACTTCCAACAAATCTTTTACGACAAATGCTCGAAAAAAGCCAGCGGATTTATCAAAAAAATCAGAAATTATGTTAAAATACCGTATAAATTTCATTTTAAAATTTATTTATTTATTTTTAAGGAAAAATTTTGATCATTGTGAAAAACATAAGCAAGTTAAATGGAAATTTATAAAAGAGAAGCCAACTTTTAAAAAAAATCTAGGAAACTCCTAATTTTGTATTTTTATTAATCTTATTTTAGAAAAGGGTGAAGAGTTCGTTTTTGAACCTTTGAAACTTTATTTTCTAAAATTTATAACAAATATATTTTTGAATGATGGAATTCTAAACTCTCATAAAAATACAGAGTGATTCTTTTGGAACTGACCTATTCAACTAGGCTTGTTAAAATATATCCGATTTGCGACAAAAGATTCTGGAAGGAGGAAAATTTAGTGGTCCGTCCTGTTTTTTGATGTACAACTCCGAAAAAAAAAGAGTAAATAAAAAAACCGCGAAATGCTGTACAAGGGATGGCTTGTGCCCATAAAGAGTTGTTAAAAACCCTGATTACCATGGGGCATTATTATTATTATTTATTATTATTCCACCTGCTTCACCTCTCAATGGGCACTATAGGTCAGTCATGTTAATCTAATCGTTGCACCAGCAACCTTTTTCGGTTGTTTACCTTCTCAACCTTATTATTGATAAACAGATTTAATATTAGTTATTACTTTTATTGTGTGCTCCAACTTACAATTTTTGGGGTTAGTTAGTTTAGAGATATTTACATATATGCATGAATGGAAGCTTGCTGACTTTACAGTTCGTCAGATGCCTAGACCTGGTTATCTGCTATGATTATATTTCTCTTAGAATAGACATACTCTATGATAGTTTCTGCTGCCCCGCTGTCCGTAGTAATCCTGCAGAAGGTCTTTGAGGCTAAGTGATCCCTGGAGCTGAGAAAGGGAGGCTCTGATGGGAGAAGTGAGTGGGATGTAATGTGAGACATCTGTTGAAGAAGCTGAAGCACCGCAGGAGCATTTGACGTTTTGATGGCAGAACCTTCTGAGGTACGCGGGAAATCTTCCGTGATTTGTGAAAGCTTCTTGTAGACAGAAATCTGTTTTGAGCATCTTTGTGGAAGCCACGGGACCAAACGTGACTAATAAAGGTTTGTAAAGGTTATAATCACTTACTCTACAGTAAGTACTGAAAATGAGTACCCTGGCGTAGGCATAACCGAACTCGCCGCTCCATGTTGGCTGCAACACTCCGAAATGTGTCGGCAGTGGTGTTTGCAATTTTCCTAGAAATGTTGGCCATTAATTCGTCCAGTGTCCGTGGTTCATCGCGATAGACACGATCCTTCAGTAAACTACATAAGAAGAAATCTGGTGATCGTGGAGGCCACAAACCTTTGGAAATAATGCGGTTCCCAAAGAAATCCGATCAAATCCGCACTTTGGTTTCACGTGTGGCATGTGAAAACAAGGTACGGATGATACAAAAATGATTTGTGAAAACGAAGTACGGAAGATACGTGTCTGGGGGGGACATGCTGGAATACCCCCTCAGTCAGTTTCACGTCATCAAGCTGCTTCATAAATTCTCTAAAAAGTGCATGTAGGGCTCGCTGTTCACTGACCCCTGGAAAAATATTGGTCCCGCAATGCAAGTGGCAAACAAAGCGCACCAGACTCAAGCTATGTCTGAATGGAGTGGCATCTCCATTATCATATGTGGATTTTCTGTCCGCCAGATGCGTGTACTCTGGGAATTGACATATACGGACAAGTGAAACCAAAGAAGCCATGGATGGAAGTTTACGTCTGTGATTATTCTGAAAAAAATTATTCCTATCTAGTTATTAAAAAAATCTGTGGAAGGCGTGGTTTCACAATATCTGAAGCAACCATATATAATATTGTCAAACAAGAAAGGGGGGAAGTCAAAGTTTGATTTGAAATGAAAAAGGAGTTCCAAATACATATCTGAGCAGAAAAAGGAATGTTTCGAATGTTGCAAAGGTTGTAAGGATTATGTTAATTTTATTAACAGTTAAATTTTAAGTTAAAGTTCCTTTCCTGTCAAATCTTAACTTCAACTTACTACTTCCGGCCAGAACGTAATTTTGGAATTTGCTGAATATTTAATGAGGAAAGCGGTATTTAAACCACGAGTTACTTACTGAGTCAGAGGAATCAGAGTTTCTTGATTTACGCGCGTCTGCCTTTTGGCCCTCTCTCTCTCAAAGCTTGTTATTACGCTCCCGTACTCAGCCTTGCTAAGCTTCGAGTCAAATAAGTTAAGGGACCAGCTCAGTTTGAATCTTGATAGCTTCGGCTATACTTCTTTAGTTAATTTTAGTTTTAGTTTAATTCTTAGTCTTTTAAGTTCAAGCCCAAGTGGGGGCCTTGCTTGTACACTCCTATGTGGAGTTTTCTTAAATCTTATTGGAATAATAAAGGAGGGTTAGTTACCCTTCTATCTTGTTGTTTCTTGTCACCGAACACAAGCGATTATTCGCTTATCAGTTCTTAGATCCTTCACTTCCAACATTAACTTAGAATTCCGAAGTGAGGAACTCTACAAGGTAAAAACTTTAATGTTAAAAGAAAATCTACGGAGTCAAAAGACAGTAGCAAAATAATTAAACTGTACAGTGTCAATTACAAAAATAGTGATTAATGCTGATTTGAACTTTAAAAAGGGGAAACAACATAATGGGCATCGTCTTTCTACACGACGTATCGGCGAATGCAAGCCTCTCTGCAGAATTATTTATGAGAAACATTTATCTTGACAAAAAATTCCAAAACATTGTGACAATATCTGAATCTTGGGTGCATTTAAATGACTGCAACAAAAAGAGATCCACTTATTAACATCAAAAAGATGAAAAATATTTTAAAGTATGGTTCAGGGAATCTTAAGGAAAGTTTCTCAGAGGGACTGCTGGTTTTTGCGGGTCATATAATGGTAAATTAAAAATAAAGAGATTGGAGGAAAATGTTTAGATCAACTCCCCATATTATCAGGGATATGTTTTATACCCAATTTGTAAATATGAAATAGCTACTCTTTACTCACAACCCCATCAATCAGTAGAACTGAATCTAAACAAAGAAGGCAGCTACACCTCAAACTCCACTATTAATAATCTGAAAAAAATGGAACAAGAAATGGGTATCAAGGCTATTACCCTTCACTCAAATCCCTACCAAATCTCTTGATTTATCACCTAAGCACTTTTCCGCTTTTGGACGTTTTAAAAGGGGATTGACCAGACGTCGACAACAGCTTTCCTTGGACTTTAGAAAGCTTTTGAAGAGTAATGGGATAAAGTCACTCTTCTGATACTGCAAAAGGCTTTATTGTCCTGGAAATCACGGTGTAAAATGATAGTGAAGAATAAGGATTATCAAATAAAACATCTAAAATAGAATCAGGTAAAATATTTTTGTAAATGCAATGAAAGTCGTCTGAAAAATGTGCGAAGGCCTCTGTAATATATGTCCATATACATTTTATTAATTATTATGTTTACGAATTGTTTTCTTGAGAAGTTGAGCCGAAATTTTACTCTCCCTTTAAAGATCCTGTAGCGAAAATAATGTTAGGAATACCTAAAATAAACACATTTTTATTAATGGCAAATAAATTCGGTTGTATGGAGTTTGCTTGTGTGTGTGTGGTGCATTTCTGAAAGGAGGAATATGCGATTTTGATTTAATATTCATATTTTTAGAATACATTTAGCATTCTACAACGTTTCCAATTTGTAAAACTCATACACGGAAAATTCTGAAATACCAGTTTAGACCAGAGTTTTTTAAACTGGAGGTCGCGGGCCCTGCAGCAGGGTGTCGCCAAAAATTTTAGCAGGTTTCATATTTCTTTAACTTATTATAATAATTTTACAAATACCATATATTTTTCAGCAATATATCTGAAAATAAATAAAGATAAAATAATACAGATAAAGAAAGAACGAAAACGTTTCGAAGCATTCTTTTTATAGTTTAAACGTACATTTTACTTGCTTTGAAAGTGACGCTATCATTTTGTCTGTTAGTTATTTAAAATTTTCACACTGTTCTACGTCTTAAAACTATAAATCACAGTTAATGACCTAAAACTGCAATAGCATATTAAGTTACAATTGAAACAATTGTCGTTTTCACTAACGCGTGTGTCGGATTTGCGCAATGCTTATGGGGTCCCACAAATTTTCGTAAATATTATGGGGTCCAGGGGTCGCGATAAACATCTCAGTGTTAAAAAGGGGTCGCGACTGAAAAAAGTTTAAGAAGCCCTGCTTTAGACTAATGTTTAATGACAGCTTCTTTTCCTTTGTGAATAGAATGTCGCACTTTTTATTTTCTCTGATTATAAAATCTTTTCATTTTCAGGTGTACGGGGGAGAAAATGAGAACTCTCCACCACTTTTGAATGCCTGCCACAGAATAAGCGGCTCTCAGATTGTCACAAGCCATGGAAATCATATGGTAGTCCATTTTAACAGTGACACTAACATACGTGGCAGAGGTTTCAAAGCATCCTACAGGAAACTCAGTGCAGGTAAGATATAGGAAACGTCCAGAAGAGCATTTCTTGTAGAGATACTAATTTTTAAAACTCAAAATAGATTATACAGAGTGTCTCAAAAGGTCTTTGCCAAACTTAACATGCTTCTCTCTCATACCATGACGAACAAGATTTACATAGGAGCTGCGCACGGCAGCTGCTACAGGCAATGTTCCCAAGCGTAAAGAGGAAGAAGAAAGGATGTCGAAAGAAGTGTTAAAATGACTTTTGTTAAACAACATGGTTAAATATCAAAAGATGTTCAAAGTTCCTTCCATTCTTTGCAATGTATGCTTCACAACGACGGCGCATGGATTCACAGACACGTGCCACCGCTTTGACGATCCTCGCAACGAGATCCATATCCGATGTTCATGTTGTCTCGTAGACCATCCATTTCATGTCACTCTAAAGGTTGAAATCCAGGAGTCACGTCGGGGAATCGCGGTGGCCAAGCTACTGGTCTGCTTTTATATGTCCTATCGAGGTATTTCCGCACAGAGTTGCTAAAGTGCGCAAGAGCTCCATGATGCTGAAACCAGGTATTTTGGCATGTACTGCTGGAACATCAACTATCATTTCCGGCAAAAATCTTTCTTCAAAAGTCCATAAAGAATTGAATTAGTAAACTGGATCATGTTTCTCCTGCAGCGTCCTCGCCTGAAATGATAATACTTCCCAATCTCCCATAAGACTACGAATACTGCACTTTAGCGGTGACCGTTCACATTTTCGGGCACCAGTTGCTAGTTGTTTGTCATGGTATGACAGACCAATATATTAAGTTTAGCAACGACCTTTTAAGACACCCTGTATAATGGAAATTTGGTTATATGCTTTGAACAGTGCAGAACAATTCTTATATATAAGCGGCTTAAGTGTTTGTCGCCGATAGTATATTGGTTGCTTGCGTAACTGTAAATTGTTTTATTCCCCGTGCAGTGCAGCGCGGACATATTAGAGAACACAAGCCGGAAAAAATAAATGACAAGAGCACTTTTAACTTTAAAAGAAAATACATTAGAATACTGGTGGGGATAAACCAGGTACTAATTCATAATTAAAGCTATTGTACAACGAAAAAAATTGGAAGAAACATGGAAGCTTCGCCTTTGGGGGCACTGTACTTGTATTCCAAAACAAATTAACACTGGACTGCATTTGGCTTACATTCCCGGGAGCACTTTGCGCCACACTACCCGATGAAGGGGCGGGTCCGGGCGTCACCAGGTCCACGTGGGCCTATTCCGGCCTTGCTCTGGATAGGAGGACGGGCGCTCAACCAATAACCATAAGGTAAAGGGATGGTGCCCACGTCCCCGTGCCTAATCCTATCTATATAATAGAATTCGGAAAATGCACCGGCAGAACCGGCGACGAAAAAAACAATAAATAAATAAATAAATATCTTATTTAGCGGCTTAAGTGTCTTGGTCTCCGGTAGTTTTTGGGCTTGCCTAACTGTACTAGCCAATGAGGTGAAGTTGCTCGGCACAGGGTTGGGTTCAATTGGCGTAGACAATTTCCTCAAACTGCCTTTGCTATGACCATCAACAAGTCTAGGGCCAAACCTTAAGCGTGTTGGCATTTTTTACCTGAGGCCTGCATTGGACACGGTCACTTTATGTTGTTTGTGAGAGTTTGTGAAAGAACGGACGTAAAATTAAAAATAATGGATGGTCCTCTGCAAGGCGACTTAAAAAGATGGAAAGATCTACACAAGAAGTTGTGCACAAGAGAACTTTGCCATGTGAATTAATATTTTATTATTAAATCACCTTTATTTATTGAGCTAGCGGTGGCTCTTAAGAATGTCCCAGTGGTTTCCCTTCAAGCCCTACTTTAAGCAATTAACAGCAGAAGGGAGAAACCCCGTGGCGCAGTAAGCAAAAGGGCGTCCTCGCCGCCTGCCCGAGGTAATTCAGTTTGAATTAGCAGACACCTTTGCACAAATCATTTTAATTACAATTTGTAATAGCGGTCATTTCGTATGACCGCCGGGCTTTCTAGTACATCATATGCGCATGAAATATTTACGATACACAAATATAACATAGCGGTTATATAATATAATAATATGCAATATATATGACATATTTTATGTCTTACATATACATACTGTATGCCTTATACATAGTCATATGTCTTGCATATACATACTGTATGCCTTATATATAGTCATATGTCTTGCATATATATGATTTATTTGCTTGATATTTACATTATGTCTTTAGCTGTAGGTTCAGGGCAAGGGCAAAATGTGTCTCATCAGAGGCCTAGTGTTAAGATGGTTATGTACTAGTTATACAAAAAGGTTCAAATCTTAGCGAATGGCTTAGCTGACGGAAAAATTTCGTGTTATTTCGAGCCAATTTCCCTTAGCAAATTCTCCACGAAAGCTTTCCTTCCTTTCAAGCATGTAGCCGTAGTGTGTTTTAGCATAATATAATAAATTCGGACCATTCATAAAAACAAAACTATGCAGAGAGAGTGAATAAAGTGGGGCTAGGGCTTTGCAGTCACATATGGTAACAGCTAAACTTTCGTTGATAGGTAAGACTTCACGTTACGTTAGGGAAACTGATATAAGAATTTTGCCTAAATATTTTAACTTTTGATCTTTACCCAAGCTGGTACACGAGTTAACCAATCAAAGTAAACATGAACTGACGTGCAATTGCAGATACATGCATGAACAAAGTTTTCTTCCACAGGTATAAGATATAGCCAGGACTTTCTTCCAGAGGTGTAAACGAAGCTAACGACTTTTAGATCTCTGATAGTTGGGATAGCTAAACTACCATCTGAATGTTCCTTCAAAACGTAAACAGTCTGACCGTTGGTTAGGGAGAAGCTCTAACAACCATTTTCATTTTAAGGATTTAATATCCCCAATAATTACGTTGTAAGGTTAAATTAATTGATTATGTTAAGCTCTCAAGATACTAAGTTGGTTTGCTGGGTTTCTACTGCACTGCGGCAGTACTTCTCAGTAGCAGGAGAGACTTTCCGAAGGACCTGGCTTTGTGGAGAAATCAAGTGGATCCTGAAGAAAGAGGTCGTCAGGAGGAAGCTCTGATGGCGGTAGAAGTGAAGATAAGCAGTGGTAAACAATAAAGTTTGAAAGTGCAAGTAGAAGCTGAAGTCGCTTGGGTAGCGCCATTTCTCGTCAGTCGTGGAAAGTAAGGCCAAAGACGAGATTTAGGGTTAGCTGAGGGTTGAACGTGCTGCCATCTGGTGCTGGTTCCTGGAACTGATCTTCAAATTGAGATCTAGGGTTAGCTGTGGGTCTAGCCTGTCGCCATCTGGTGTTGGCTACTGGAACTGAGCTATTTTGGTTCTGCAAAGTTGGTTATCATCATGGCTGCCTGGAATCCAAGTTTTAACTTGTCTGCTGGGTTTTTGCCGCCTGTATCTTTCCGATAACGGAGACAGTATTTTTTAAGAACTTCGAGATGTTTTACGTTGTAAGGTATATCTCTCGCCTTCTTGGCATGAATTCGTGGTGTGTGGTGGTCTGCACGCTCAGTGCGTAATTGAGAGGTCCTTGGTTCGATTCACGGTAAAGGCGTTGCATATTTTCCATCTTGTCTGTTTCAAAAAAACAAATACCTAATGTCTCAACAACGTACTGAAAATGCAGGAAAATTATTTAATAATAAATTACATTTACTGAATTTTTTATATAGCACATTAATTGTTTAATAATAATTGACATTTAGTACATAAGAAATATAAAGTGTGTCTGAAACTGTAGAAATGTTATTGAAGTTCAAATACAGTACAAAGTCCGTAATTCGGACTCGTCGGGACTTCGGCGATTCCGGATTAGAGTTTTTTTCGGATTATAGATCATCAATTTAAACCTGGTAAGATGGCATGCAGAAATGATACAATTAAAAATATGAAATCGTAATTTATGAAATAAAGAACAATTATGATCTAAAGTGTATCAAAATTTACCAAAAAAAACTTAATATTTATTTGTTTACTTTATTAAACATTTCTTTCAATGTGAGTTGTTTAAGATGCTTCCACAAAAAATTCAAAAAGTTCCTTTTTCTTTTGCTTATGTTATATACAGTTGGACTTTCCAATGTCATACTCTTTGCATAATTTTGAGACGGATAGGCCTTTATCCATTTTTTGCAGTAATTCCACTTTCTGTTTAATAGACATCGAAACATGCTTTCGCTTTGTAGATCCTTTGGCAACTCCAGAATTGGAAACTCTTTTTGACATAATCGTTCAAGCTTAATTTTTATAAAATTGTTTTAACAGTCTGCAGAAAATAATAAGCCGGATCCAATTAGAAGATTAAGGAACAGCGCAATCTGCAACATTAACTGAAATGCCTTAGATAATTTTAGCCTAGCTTATACCGTCCGTTATACATTAAATGCGCATGCGTAAACGCATTATGGGCCTGCGCATACAGTTTGTAACTTTGAGGTCCAGATCATTCCGGATTATTCACGACCGGATTACAGACTTTATACTGTACTACGAAAAATTGTTCTTGTCAATGAATATGTATTCCCAAACTTCATCTCTTGATACTTAAAGTCCAGCTTGTGTTATAACAATATAGCTCTTAACATGCGTCTGCTCATTAACTAACCGAAGCACTTTCAATACCAAAGAATTCTGCTAACAAATGCAAATTTCCCAAAACTGCCATGAAAAATAAAGTGTATTCTTAATTTAATGAGAAATAGCAACTGGTAATTTATAAATAGAATTATGTACTCTTAATATATTGCCTTAATTTCTTGGACATATTTCAAAATGCCCGTTTATATATCTTCTTTAAAACGTTACAAAGCATGCCGTATATATACGGCCTTGCCGATCAGTTTGTGAAGACTTCATTACGATAATACATAATCCTCCCCCCACATAATAAATAATAAATAATTCTCTAAAACTTGGGCATCCAATCTTAAAATAGACGTATTTCTAGCTAATCATGCAAAAAATTAGATTTTTTTTTATCAAAATTTCCAAGATATAAGGAAATTTACATTCTGGTGCCTTTTGAAATTTGGCTTACCTGTTATAAGCGATAATTACGCCAAATGTTGGTTATGCCTTTGTTAAAATTATTTGAAAGAACGAAAGATGTACTTCCCCCCCCCGCTCATGAACAATGAAATGGAAAAGAAAATTCGTTACCATAAATTAAGAATTTCGACAAGTGAATTATTCTCCGCGCAAATTGAAAAAAAAAATACGCCAAGATAAATTTTTAAATTTCTCACCAAATTTTATAAAATTTAATGTTTAGGATAATTTGAGTCGTAGAATGAAAGAGAAAGATCGCATGTCTTTTCAGAAAAAGTCCGATTTTCTGTCAAAATCCCTATGTAAGAGCCATTATACATATCAGCCTAATATATATTTTAAGTTGCGCTTTCGAGATAGGAAAAAACACAAATTAAATTATTTCGTCTATCGGCCCAGTAGAACGGGAGATATAGAACTCTCATGTTTTTGGGTGTGTGTGGGTGCATAGGTGTTTTCTGGATTTTAATGTGAAATTGCCCTGGTAATTTATAAATACGATTATGTACTCTTAATATATTGCCTAATTTCTTGGATATATTTCAAAATACCCTTTTATATGAGTGTATTTGAGCCCGTTTATTTGAGTGTATTCGAGTGCCTTTCGTGTATTTGAGTGTATGTTTCAAAAGCAAGTGAGTAAATTAGCAAATATAAGAGTGGTGTTACATCGAGAAATCTGCTCTAAAGTAACTATACAATTTACGTTGAGAATTTTGTATAGTGTTACTCTGTATGATAAGTGGAACTTTCTTTTCTTTTTACATTAAAAATATGCTCTACTTGCAGGATGTGGTGGTAAATTCACAGCAGGAGAAAGTACAATAATGTCCCCGAATTACCCTGATCCTTATAACGCTAATGACGAATGTGAATGGTTGATACAAGTATCTTTGGGACACCGAGTGCAGTTAAAATTTTACGATTTCGAGCTACCTCTTGCAACGGATTGTACTCTAGGACATGTGGCAGTAAGATTTTAATAATATTAACATTTGAGTCTATAATTGATATAAACTTATTCATCGATTCAATAATTGATTTATTTCCCAGTGTAAACGTGCTTATATCACTGTACACACTAATAATACTAACACACTAGTAATTCACTAATAATAACTAACACACTAGTAATTCACTGTACACAACATGCAAAATAAATTTCACTTTTAACTCGTTCACAAACTTCTATAAAATATCATCAAGTCTAATTCATTTTCATTTACGTAATAAAATATTTTCTTGATAGCGAGTTAAAAATATGATGTATACAACACATGACTTCCTTGTACGGAATATTAAATTATACGCACCTTTCTTCTCCATTTGATCTTCGAACGTCATTAGAATAGATTTCTTATTCAATAAATTCAGTTCTCACTTCGTGACAAGGCAAAAATATATGAAACCTCAAAATATCTTCATTCAAAATCGACCAAATACAATTAAAACAATGAAAAAGACAATTTTTTTACACTTAAAATTAGAGTTTCTACACGAAAGCAGGCTATTCAGCCAGCGGGCAAGAAGACATACTTTTCGTGCACAAAACTGAAAGTCTACTTTTAGTCCCACTCAGCAAAAAGACATCGAAGGTGCAGAAATTGACTTAATTCACTATTCTGCTAAATTTCAGATTGAAACAAATATGGCTGCTATTTGAAAAAAAAATTGGGCTTAGACGCACTTAAACAACTTTTAAATTGTTGATAATTTCCTACAACTATTGCATGCAGATTAACTAAAAGCATAAAAATCTTAACCGGAAGATAAGAACAACATAATTCGATCATTTTAAGCAAAAAGTGCAAAATTTACCAACACATAACAATAAAAAACTCAGCTCATGGAGCCGAGTAATAAAATGGGTACACATACGTATACACGAAGTAAGGAATTTAAAACCAACTTTATAAAGACCAAAATTTCAAATTAATAAGTAAAAATTTCACAAAATCCTATAAATGAGAAAAGAATTTAATTAGTGTTAAAACTAAAAATTTCGAACAATACCTTAATTTAAAAAGCAAAAAGAACATAATAGAAGAGGAATTCAATTAACCTCAATGCTACTTCGTCAGGAGGAGGAACATTGAAATCACTCTTCCAGAAAAAATCCTTGCTTTTTTTGTATCCAGAATCAACCGATGAACCATTCGAATGTGTTTTCATTATAATAGTTTACCCGAAAATTCTGGCCCGACCCAAAGCAAGGTAAAAAACAAAGTAAATTCTTAAAATTTTTCTACTTTTAAATCAAAAGTACTCAATCCAAAGAACGGAAAACGAAATTGAAATAATATAATACTTTACGGAAAATTCAAATCAAAATTTTACCTTTAAACAAGGAGGTTATCCAAAGATTTCAAAACCTAAGTGAAATTACTAAATTCATATGTAAATGAAAATACATAATTTAAAAAGTTCGAGTGCTTTCAATTATAACATAACCTAAACTATAAAAGAAAATCTATGGAAGAACTTTTAGATTTGCAATGATTAATTCCGTTTTTTGTAAATATTGTAATTATATATTATATATATAGATATATGGGAATATATATATATATATATATATATATCTATATGAGGTATGTGATGTATGTTGTGCAAAAGTATGTGAATATATATATTATATATATTCACATACTTTTGATGCAGCTGATTGCAACCAACCAAAAAGAGACGTACACAACTACATGATATAGCAGTCCTATATACGACATTTCAACGTTTTGAGACTATTTTTTTAGTTATGCGTACGTACGTGCTTACGTATAGATACATACATACGTACGTAGAGATGTCACGAAAAAAATCTATTCTGAACCCATTTTAAATCCTTTTTGCAACAGGTTTTGGGAAAAAGATTCAGATGTCAGGCAGAAATATCGTTTAATTTCATTCGACAGCAGTCAAAATGGATATTTTCGTTGAAATATGATGCCCGAAAATTTTCGCGCTTACAATACCTTCTTTACTTTGTACAAAGAATTAAAAATAACTTTAATACCGTCATTAAAATTCTTTAAAATTAGGTATTTATTTGCTGAGTACCATAGTAATTCATTTGTTTGCAGTAAACATTTATTCTAACAGAAAACCAAGTTCATAAATCATATAATGAAAATTTAATATTTTAAGAAAAATGTTAGAGAATTAATTGTAATACTTTTTAAGAAGCTCACTTTTACTTTCTTATATGAAGTAAAGGAAATATTATACTCGCGAAAATTTCGGGTATCATATATTTCAACCGCTCTCGAAACCAATTGATCGCTGTTTCTGCGTGACATCTGTAGGTATAAGCAGAACAAAGGACTGTTTTTGCAAAAGAGGATTGTGAAATGTATTTAAAATGGATTCAGAAGAGATGTTTTCTTGTCGTCTGTACGTAAGTATTTACGTATGTGTGCGTCTCTCATAACTCAAGAACGAGTAGCCGCAGAACGTTGAAATTTTGTATATGTCACTGCTATAGTATGTAGTTGTTCATCTCCATTTTTCGTTGCAATTGGCTGCACCAATCGTATATAAATATACATATATATGTGTATATTCCCACTCTGTGAGCTCTGCCTATCTCGGTGAGTTAGTATTTTTAGTCTTATATGTTGGTAAATTGTGCCTTTTATGCTTTAAAAGTGATTGAATTATGTAGTTTTTATATTCCGATTAAGGATTTTATGCCTTTTTTTAATCCGCATACAATAGTTGTAGAATTATCAACTATTTAAAATTTTAAGCAGCGAGTTAAGCCTAACGAAGCGACATTTGTATACATTTGGATCTGAGTAGAATAGTAAATTGTCTGTTTCTGTAATTTTAATGTCTTTTTGGCAAGTGGGAGCAAAAGAATACTTTCAGTTTTGTGCACCGAAGAATTTGCCTTTTTGCCCGTTTGCCGAATTGTTGCTTTTTGCATAGAAACTAATTTTAGATGTAATTTTTTTGGGGGAGGGATAACTGTTTTAACTGTATTTGGTGTTTTATGTTTTCCTGTAATTTACAATTTTTAATGAAGATGTTTTGAGTTTTATACATTTTTGCTTTGCCTCCTAGTAAATATTGAATTAATTGAATGATATATATATATATATATATACAGTGGTGGCCAAAATTGTGGACACTTTTGGAAATTTTTTTGCTTTTGAACTTGGTATGCTTATAGAAAACGTTACGTTTCACAAAATGCAAACTTGTATATATCATTTTAAAGAGAATTTATTACTGAAATCAATACAAAACACAAAATTCAATTATTTGCAATACAAAAAAGTTAAACGATAATAGCTGCAGTGAGTTATCAGTACTTAGTAGGGTACCCTTTATTTTTGATTACAGCTTCACATCGACGTTTCATTGAGCTGACAAGAGTTTTAAGTTCTTCTTTCGTTATTACATGATGCCAGGAAACAATTATAGCCTCAATTAGTTCCCTTTTATTTGATGGGCGCCTCATTCGGACAAGAGTTTTCAAACGGTGCCACAAATTTTCGATAGGATTGAGGTCAGGTTTTTGTTTCCTGGCCATGACAACAATTTAATGCTCTTTGTACGAAACCACTCTTTCGATATTTTGGCCGTGTGGCAAGGAGCAGAATCCTACTAAAAATAAACGAAGCATTGTTGGAAAAGAGATCTCTGATGGAAGGTAGAAGTTTTGGTTCTAGAATAGTGTCAATGTATTTTCTGGCATTCAGTGTCCCATCGATGACATGAAGGCGACCAATACCATCTGCTGACATGCATGACCAAATCATAACACTAACTGGGTTCTTCACAATTGCTTGAATGCAGTCAGGATGTAGCCCTTCTCCTATTCTACGTTTTACATATTTTCGCCCATCACTACCGAATAACGAAATCTTAGTTTCATCACTCCATATAACTTGTGACCACTGATCATCTGTCCAATTAATGTGTCCCTTTGCCCACTGTAGTCTTTTTTTTTTTTTTTTTTTTTTTTTTTTTTTTTTTTTTTTCGTTGCTGAAAATTAAGATAAGGCTTTTTTCGTGGAATTCTACCTCTCAGTCCAACATCTGTTAATCTTCCCCTAATTGTTCTTGAACTGACAGAAACACCAGCATCATTCAGTTCAGTTCTGATGGCCGCTGATGACATTTTTCTATCTTGGTCATTTTATTCTTCTGTCATCAATAGATGTGGTGCACTTTTTTCGGCCTTTTCCTTCTTTGTTTTTTATTGAATTTGTCTCCTGATATCGTAATCAAAACTTTCGGACTCCAGATGTAGTCACTGAACCACCCACCTGTCTTGCAATTTCAGCATAGGAAAGAACACTTTCTCGTAACACAATAATATTACATCTCTTTCTAGGTGTTCAATCTACTCTTTTATTTGATGATATTGCTTCTTGACTAAATATTAAAAATTTTTATAAAAATTCCTACTTGTAATTGCAGTGTATAAGAAACAGGTCCTCCTTCTACAGAACAAAGCAAAATAATGAATTGTTTCAAGTGTAAACATGATGTCAGCTTTTACTGGCAGTTACTATCATTTGATTGGTTCTCAGAACAAGAGCAGTGAATGGCCAGGAAAGCTAGACATTACAAACCACTTCATAACTGTGTTTTTTATTTATATTAAAGTACATATAACTTTTTTCGTATTACAAATAATTGAATTTTGTGTTTTGTATTGAATTCAGTAATAAATTCTCTTTAAAATGATATATACAAGTTTGCACTTTGCGAAACGTAACATTTTCTATAAGCATAGAAATTTCAAAAATATTAAATTTTGCAAAAGTGTCCACAGTTTGAGCCACCACTGTATATAATGAAATTCGAGGAAATGGGTTTAAATGAAATGCAGAAAAAAAAATGTGCATAATTTATTTGGCCGTACAAAGTGATGTGGTGTCCACATGAGATTTTTTGCTTTCATTTTTATCATGTATACTTTCGCAATTATCATAAACGTTCTTACTAATTAATTTGCTGAATAATTCCGTTGCTGGTGAAATTAAATTATCAGTTGATTGTTTTAAATTTACATGTAGAATTTTAGGCCTTAATAACACTGCAGTAATTATTGTTATACAAATATTTCTCATATTTTTATTTGCAACATAAATTACGTTACAATAAAAGTACTCAACGGATAAAGCATTAGGCATTTATTAATTTAGTTTGCAAATTTAATTTAAAAGTAATTATGAAACAAAATTAAACAAAAAAAAAATCTGAAATGTTTCAGATTTTAAATTACGTCCAAAGGGGCGTTTTTTAACATTTTGTGTGTTACCTTTCTTTATTAAATATCATGTTCCTCGCACTTAAACCATAAGATCCAGTGCAACAGCAATATCGCAAAATAGTTTTAAAACGAGCATATCTTTAGAATTTCCGATACAGAGACTCACGCGCTGGAGAATAAAAAATTTTTTTCTGCACATGTAGAACGTTGCCATTGCTCGCTTTGAAATCCTTGAGTTTGTTAATTCAAAAATTCGTCAAAGTTTTAAAAAATAGGAAATCGATCATAAAACAAATTTCAAATTTCAAATTTGGTCTTCCACATGCCTCATATTCGCGTTGGAGGATTACGTTATTCAAAATTCGATGACTCTATGTACCGTTGTTTTATCACAATACGAGAAATAATACATACATTTATGCAGATTTTTCATTATTTAATTTCTTCAAATATAATGCAGGACTCTAACATTTTGTGGCAACAGTTTGAAAAGTGAACCGAACCGACATTTATGAGTCCGACGCAAAATGCCAAAACGAAACTAATAGTCCTTCGGGATTCAAATCCCTTTGGACTAAAAATAAATAAAATAAAATATTTATTACACATAGCATTCTTTCTTTCTTAAGTACAAATAAATGTCAAACGCGTTGCTATAAATTTAGTCATTTCTGTTCAACTGGTTTTGATGTTAAAAAATTAACATTTTGTATTTATTTAAATTAAATTAAATTAAATTTTCGACGCATCTAAACAGCTGAATGTATAACCGATTTGCTTAGGCAATTAAATATTCAAGCATCGACGGAGTAACTAATAATAGGAAATCACTGAATGACTTGGGAATTCATTTATGCAAAGCAATGCCTAATATTATGATAAAACTATGCGACATTGTATCATGTTTTCATGTACAGGAAATTGTTCTGTCTTATTAAGCTACTTAAATGTATTTGATTTAGATACATGACGGAAGAAACAGCAACGCACCTTTGTTAGCGAAGTATTGCGGTGCAAAGCCAGAAGAAATAATCTTTTCCACTAGCAATCAAATGCTAGTGAAATTGGTGGCAGACGGAACCAATGTGGGTAAAGGATTCCGAGCTCATTACAAAACAGGTACGTTTAAACTTCAAACTGAAAAACTCTTACTAGTACTTGTAAGTATTCCTTTTCCAATGTATCGTTCATGGACATACACCACCTGCTATGAAGGAACATAAGAATCTTGTCCTAGAAGGTAAATATTATTAAAGTAGCCATCTGCAATTAAGCAATATTGTTGTGAAATGCTCAGCTGCGGAAGATAACTTTTCCTCAAAGCGGTGTTCGCGCAGAAGGGCTATTAGTCTTGAAACACTATAAACCTGCTGTATCAATTTTCACATTGTTGTCGTCAAATATTATGGCCCCGTATTGTGATTAAAGAAATAAAATAATAAAGAATCTGCACGAATGTCTGTATGTTTCTTGGGTGTCCGCCGATAACATCGCGGCAAAAACATCGCGGACGAAAACGTCGCGGAGAAAACAACGCAAGGCGAAAACGTCGTGCTACAAAACATCGTGGGAGAAAACATCGCAGTCCTAAAACATCGTGGTACAAAACATCGTCGTCGAAAAAAAAGCTGTTCAAAAACTTCGCAGTTTTAAAACATCGTCGTCGAAAATATCATGGTAAAATATAAAGTATCTACAAATCATCGCATGACGATAACATCGCAGACATGCTTTTTTCAAGTTTTAATAATTGTAAATGGATATTTCCATAATGTTTTATGAGCGCAAGATGTAAAGAAGGATAATTTTTGCTTTCACAGTTCTTTATTGACTAATAAAGTTTTGCTGAAAACTTAAGAAGGAAACTTAAGCACACACAATTAAATGCAACTAATAGATTATACTTTTCATGAAAAATTACCAGTAAAACTTTATAAAAAATGATTTATTAATGGCCTTTGTTCGTTAACTATGTCGGTCTAAAATTTTATTGACTGCTATAAGTTCCATTAATTTTCTATGCTTAAGTTTCCTTCTAATTTTCTCAGCAAAAATTTATTAGTCAATAAAAAATATGATAGTAAAAATGATCCTTCTTTCCATCTTGCGCTCACAAATCATTATGGAAATATCCATTTACATTTATTAAAGGCTTAAAGCATGTCTGCGATGTTATCGTCATGCGATGATTTGTAGATACTTTATTTTTTTACCACGATATTTTCGATGATGATGTTTTTAAACTGCGAAGTTTTTCAACTGCTTTATTTTCGACGACGATGTTTTGTACCACGCGATGTTTTCTCTTTGCGATGTTTTCTCCCACGATGTTTTGTACCACGACGTTTTCGCCTTGCGTTGTTTTCTCCGCGACGTTTTCGTCCGCGACGTTTTTGCTGCGGTGTTTTCGGCTGAAACCGTTTCTTGCACTAGGAAGAAACGACGATATCTAGAGCCATCCAATTTTGAATAATATAGTCCTCCACCCGAATATGGGCAACTGGAAGCCCGAAGCTTGAATTCGAATTTGTTTTATTATTTGTTTCATATTTTGTAAACCTTTAACGAATTTTTTATTAACAAACTCAACGATTTCAAAACGAGCAGTGGCAACAAAATGTGCGGAATAAAATATTTTTATCTTCAGTGCCCGTTATTGCTGTAAATATGTTGATTTTAAGTGTTATTAGCCCTAAGTGGCATTAACCCAAATGCTCTCCAAACGTGTATGTGTGTGTAAATGAAGAAAATGTCCCTTTGGGCGTAATATAAAATCTGGAAACTTTCAGATTTATATATATTCTATATTTTTTTATTTTTTAGATTTAGTGTTTATATGCGTCTCCGATTCCGATGTAAGTTCAGACCCGATAATCATAGCAACAGGAATATTATTTTAGGTTAAGTTACGGAGCACAGTAATCATGAAAGAGGATGAAGGAATCTGTTCAAATGAAGAGGAGTACGGTTTTTCGTTAGTGAAAAACGAAATTACGTCTACGCATTACTACGAAAGTACGTCTACAGAGGCTGTTCACACATTTTTTAGACAATTTATATTGTCTTCACAAAACTAAATTACATAAAATTCCTGTGTTTTAAATGTTCTATTTGACATCCCTTATTCTGATCTATCTTTCGACACCGCAATTTCCAGGATAATAATGCCTTTTGAAGTGGCAGAAGTGGTATTCTATCCAATTCCTCCCGAACAGCTTTCCAGAGTCCTGTCAACGTTTGGATAATGCAGTTAGTACGAAAGCATAAAACTCCATAGGTGACACATCAGGAGATTTAGTGGGGATATCAGTGAAGGGTATGGCCTTGATGCCAGTTTTTTGTTCCATTTCTTTTAGGAAATTTACAGTGGATTTTGATGTGTGACTGCTAGCTTTGTCCTGATGGAGTCTCACAGATGGATGGCACAGTGGGTAAAGCGATGGTATTTCATTCATTAAAATTGGCGATAAAATATGTTCCTGATAGTATTTGGAGTTAATCTTGACATTTTTTTGCACTCTCTTTATTTTTAACTCGCCATTATAAGAAAAACCAGCAACAATCATGAATTGCTTAGAAAAACTTTCTTTCGATTCTTTCAACCATGTACTTAAATTTTTTTCTCTTCTTTTATGATAATAAATGTCTCTTTTTTTGTTACAATCATTTAAATACACCCATATCATATTTAAATACACCCATATCATAATATATGAGATCATAAATATGAAAACGACAGGGATTCCACAGAAGCGACAGAAAATTTGGAATGGACAACCTACACAGAGTCCAATGAAATATCACAAAGTATACCGTTTGAATTCGGCGAGAGAGCCGCAAAACCGCAAGTATCTTGAGGCATCAAAGAACTACAAGATTTCTATGAAATCATTTCATGTTAGCGGTAAGAAATTAACCATCTATGAGAAAAATCGTCTGGAGTTTCTAGTTTCCTCGAGCGAAAAAGGCCTCGAGTGCGAAATGTTAATAGATACAAAATTTACTTATTCATCATGAGGTGACAGCCGTTTCTTTTAGGTCAATAGATCTTTCAATAATTGCCACAATACCTTCTAGAAATTGCAATTTACGCTCTCATGAAACTCAAGCTAATTTGACTTTTTCATAAGTCTTAAGAAATAGAAAGAAGTAACTAAAGTTATGTGTTACCTAAGAAAACCTTCTAAGATAATTAAGACTTATTTACGAATTTATGAATCTTTTAATTAGGTGCTAATGACTAAACCATAAAATTCAATATATTTACTGACTGTTTTCTTACATATAGGTTGCGGAAGTCGTCTGCTGGCAGATGAAGGGGGCGAAATCATGTCGCCTAACTACCCACATGGTTCACCTGACTTCATAAATTGCAGCTGGATCATTTACACATCAGAACCAGGTATATAGTAATTTTTAGTCCAAAGGAGCTTTTCTCGGAGGGACTATAAGGTATTTCTTCCACTTCCCTAGCATGCCTTCGTGGTGTAATGGTTCTGCACTTTGAGCCGGTATTTCAGAGTTCCGTGGTTTGATTCCCGGCGAAGGCGGTTGCATATTTTTCATCTTTTATGCTTCCAATTAACCTAATGACTCTACAAGATTATTGTTTCCGTTTTGCGATTTTGCGTCGAATCACTCTGAATGTCCGTTTTACTTTTCAAACTGTTGCCACCAAATATTACCGCCCTGTATTATATTTGAAGAAATTAAATAATGAAGAATCTGCATAGATGTATATAAGTGTCTCGCACTGTGATAAAACAACGGTACCTAGAGCCATCCAATTTTGAATGACGTAATCCTATACTGTGAATAGGAGCATCTGGAAGCCGAAATTTAGAATTTGTTTTATTATAGATTTCATATTTTGTAAAACTTTAACGAATTTTTGATTGATTAACAAACTCAAGGATTTCAAAGCGAGCCATGGCAACGCTGTACAGAAAAACATTTTTATCTCCAGCGCACGAGACTGCGTATCGGAAACTGTAAAGAAACGCTCAATTTAAAATTATTTTCCGGTATTGCTCTTGAACTGAATTTTATGATTTAAGTGCTAAGAACATGATATTTAATCAATAACGGTGTAGAGACATTAGGTATATTTTGAAAGCAGGCAAGATGAAAAATGAGCAATTGTCCTCCCCGGGAATCGAACTACGGACCTCTGGATACCGGCCCAGCGTGCAGAACCACTACACCACGAAGGCACGCTAGGAAGGTGGGAGAAATACTCTATAAAGGTAACACACAAAATGTTAAAAAAAGCCCCTTTGAACGTAATTTAAAATTTGAAACTTTTCGGATTTTCTTTTTCTATTATTCTAACTATTTCGTCTTCTTTTCCTTATCATAACGTTTTATGCCAACAACTCTTTCCTGTGCACTCAATATTTTACTAGCAATTTCCTTTAAATCAGATTTGCCACTTATTAGATAACTGTTGTTGATATTTCCCAGGAGAGTCATGTAAGAGTGTGAATTTCCTTTTCTCAGTTTGTGACTGTTTCACGAGACCGAATTGTGTCTGCACTAATTTGTAGAAATATGCTGCAAATAATTTGTTTCTATCTCTTCTGATTTCCGTTAGGGGTCACTACCTTTGAGAGCGCAAGTACCACGACCGCGCGGCTTCAGTAATCTGATGCTCCTAACTTCCTACCTCCATGGATTAAACATGCTGAAAATGGGGTAAGCAAAGTAGCTGTAAATGCCAGCGGATAACTAGCCTGCAGGACACTTTCGCTGTTTCCCCATGTGTAGCGTGAATAAGAGCCAGTTTTCCTTGAAATGTTCTCCATTCCTCCCATTAGAGAAGCGTGCCCCCCCTAGCGAAGATTCCCCCTAGCGTGCTTTGATATAATAAAATAGTCCATTACAAACGCAAAACGTTTCACAGCTAGAGGAACAAGCAGGTCAGAATAGCTGGAGTCAGCATTAAATTACAAAAATGAAGCCAAGGAAATATCAGCAAAGTGACGTCACGACTTATCAATGGCCGCCATACAGAGTACGGATAAGACTACGAAACATATTGTTAAATAGAGTTACACTGACTTTGACAGCAAATATCAACGTCTGAAGGCAAAGATAAGTGTCTTTAGGCATTATGTGCATAAAATACCATTGAAACTTTTACTAATATTTCATCACACTTCTAGATTTTAACCATACTTACATTACTCTTATAATTTCCGTTTACACATTCTCATGTATCTAGATTTTATTAAATTTGAAATAGTTATTTTCAATCCTTATGATTTTTCTAAGTGGAAAATCATTTATGTTATGCATTAAAATTAGAACGGAAGACTTATAAGCATCCAGTAATGAATAGCTAGCATGTAGACAGCACCGATTAGAAAGTAAACAAAACCAACCAGAAGGCTGCCTATATCAGCGGCCATGATAAGTCGTGACGTCGTATGTTATCTTTCATGGCTCCACTTCCACTGCACAGGTCATACGCAGGAGGTTTTTCTCCATTTGTTCTAACCTGCTTCCACAGAAATCCAAATTTAAAGGTCACTTTACTTCTTTAGTTGTACCGTTATGGAAGAGCTTCAAACAGATGCATCGTTAATTTGATACAATTATTTCCGTTAATTCAAAGCTGAATATTTTATTAAAGATGTCCGTACTAATTTACTTCAAGAATTTTACTTTGCAAATTTTGCAATATACAATTAGTTTTTACTAATTGGAACTATTATTATCAGTTTTGATTACAGTAATAAATTTTCAGTTAATGATTACAGTAATAAGTTTTCAGCTAGATTTAAATTCATTTCAGTTAATGTATTTTACAGCAGAAAAAGTGAGTCTTCTTGTGACTCATCTGGAATTAGAGAACTCCGAAAATTGTTCTTCTGCGTCGCTGACGATAAAGAACGGGGATATGCCTGATTCGCCTATCTCCAGCGTGTATTGCGGCCGTAGCTCTCCTCCCCTTATTATATCAAGTGGAAACATCCTACAAGTGATTCTGCAAAACCATGGAATTTTTAGGGCAACTTATGGTTCCGCTTCATCGAGTAAGTCGTACACATCAAATAAATATTTTTTTTTATTCTCAGCTCTTGAAATAGAAAGGATATGTATTAAACGATTTAGTAGCTTAATACGACATAACATACAAGGTGCACCATAAAGTTACCGGACACTTTATTATACATAAAAAATCTCATGTGGACACCACATAACTTCCTTGTATGGCCTATTAAATTATAAACATACTTTGCTGCATTTCATTTAAACTTGTTTCCTCGAATTTCATCAGGGATATATTCTCAATTTAGGTGTCACTTCGCGTCAAGAGAAAAACACATAAAATCTCAAAACACCCTCACTTTAAAAACAGGAACTGTAAAATACAGAAAATCCTAAAACACACAATAGCAATTAGAAGAACAGTTAAAAAATAATTTTTACAATTAAACTTAGTTTTCATTCGAAAACAAGCACTTCGGCCAGAGGGTAAGAAGATAAATTATTCTGTGCACAAAGCGTAAAGTTTATTTTTGGTTCCACCCGCCAAAAACACACCAATGTTAGTGCAGAAAGTGACTTACTTCACTATTCTACTGAGACTTTTAAATGTAAATAAATGGCCGCTCCATTAGGCTTAGTAGCACTTAAAGAACATAGAGTTTTTTTTTGCGGAGCGTTCATCGCCAAAATGCTAAATGGATTAGGGTGGATTTCCTGTATCTGATACTAAAACGAGTACGGTCACAATGAAATGTAAAATAGAGTGTGATTAGTAATCAAGCAGGATTTCTCTCAAAACCAACAAAATGTCTGTATCCTAGTAAGAATAGAATCGTCGTCTAAAACTCTTTAAAGAGAGCGCTCTCTTAGTTAACAGTTCTCTCTCTAAGAATACTCTAAGAGTTATATTCTAATAACTCTACAGTTATATTCTAATAACAGTATTCTAACTCACTTGATTGTTTTACTATTCTGATACTGCGACTGATAAACCTTACAATGAATAAAAATTCGTAATTTCCAGTATAAGATGCAAAATTCGTAATTTCCGATATAAGATGTAAAAATTCGTAATTTCCGATATGAAATTAAAATTTCTTTGTATACGTACGATTCGATTCTTCCGGATAAGCTCAGTGAATTATTTATATTTTTCCATTTTCGAAAGACTGTTGATTAGCGTCTAGTGAAACAAATACACTCTTATTTATCTTACAGTTACATGAATGACACACTGCTTACTTCAATTTAGTAATTGCTTCAGTTCGTAGCGGTGGGATTATTTAAATTGGTGCTTAAGTGAAGACTTAAGATGCAAAAATTCATAATTTCCGATATACGATGCAAAAATTTGTAATTTCCGATATAAGATGCAAAAATTCGTTGCATACGTACGATTCAATTATTCCATATAAGCTCAGTAAATTATTTATATTTTTGCATTTTCGGAAGATTGTTGATTAGCGTCTAGGGGAGCAAATACACTCTTAATTATGTTACAGTTACATGTGTGACACACTTCTTACTTCAATTAAGTAATTGCTTCAGTTCGTAGCGATGGGATTATTTAAATTGGTATTTAAGTGAAGACTTTAGATGCAAAAATTCGTAATGTTCGATATAAGATGCAAAAATTCATAATTTCTGATATAAGATGCAAAAATTCGTAATTTCCGATATAAGATGCAAAAATTCGTTGTATACGTACGATTCAGTTATTCCAGATAAGCTCAGTAAATTATTTATATTTTTGCATTTTCAGAAGATTGTTAATTAGCGTCTAGTGAAACAAGTACACTCTTAATTATGTTACAGTTACATGTTACATGTGTGACACACTGCTTACTTCAATTAGGTAATTGCTTCAGTTCGTAGCGGTGGAATTATTCAAATTAATATTTAAGTGGAGACTTTAGAATTCTGTATGTCGATATTTCATTTTGTTCTTTTAATGCTTTAGACTGCGGAGGCACCTACAAATCCCCAGAAGGAGTATTTACGACTCCAGGATATCCACTCGATTATCCTTTAAGCATGGAATGCATATGGACTATGGAAGCAAGTCCCGGTAGCAAAATCCATATATCTTTTCTGTAAGTAATGGAAAAACAGTGTTAATTTTGAAATAATGACCACAGTATGTGAACTTCAGAGTTTTTAAGTTTTTATTAATTTTTATATGCACTTGGATGTTTATGAAATCCATTACACAGTAATTTAATATCCATTCGGGAAAACAATAACAGCCATAGTAATTAATGCAATATTGTAAAGTTTTTGAACATTTGTAGCTGGATAATGCTGAATTTCTGAACTTCTAAAAAATAAAAAGAAGATGAATAGCAATTTTTGTGATACGTGAATACGGGATAGCAATACGCAAAAGCTGTCGAAATCTAATCACGCATAATATTATACAGGGCGTTTGTTATTAATATTATACAGCGTTCGTTATTAATCTGTTTTTCTAAGTGTCATCTCAGGCACATACTTCCATTTGCGAACTTCTTTGATATAATGAGTAGAATATATTTTTTGGAAATAATGTTGACCATACGCATACTGACAAGTAAACCCTCTCTCCTTTGATACCGGTTTTCCGGAAAACCATATATTTTCTGAACGCTTATATCACAATTATAAAAACTGTGAAACTGAAAAAGAGGGACAAGCGTTTAGGAGCTATAGGACCCACAAAGTGTCAGAAAAGGGTTAGAAACATGACACCTAAAGTCACTAAAATGCTCGTTTCCCGTATTTATATGAACTAATAATATGGTTAGAAGGTGGGGATCTCAATATAAAGGAAGAAACAACTCGTTGAAAAGAAACATTATTTATTGGTATTTTGAAAATTTATTAGTTAATAAAAAATATGAAAGTAAAGATTATCCTTCTTTCCATCTTGCGCTCACAAATCATTATGCAAATATCCATTTACAATTATTAAAACCTGAAAAAAGCATGTCTGCGATGTTATCGTCATGCGATGATTTGTAGGTACTTTATTTTTTTACCACGATATTTTCGACGTTGATGTTTTTAAACTGCGAAATTTTTTAACCGCTTTATTTTGGACGACGATATTTTATATCACGATGTTTTAGAGCTGCGATGTTTTCTCTTTGCGATGTTTTTTCTCCCACGATGTTTTGTATCACGACTTTTCGCCTTGCGTAGTTTTCTCCGCGAAGTTTTGTTATTGACTTCAAACAAAAGCTGTTAGAAGAGACAATCAATGTGCAATTCATCATATAAACAGTGAGACAGGAAGAAAGACAGTTCACAATGGGCACATTTTACAAAAGCGATAGCCTCACACTTTGCACACTTATTATTTGTCAATGAATCGAAGCAGTAATCTATTGGCTTAATCCACATTCCAAGTTCGTCGTCCAAGTCTCTGTAGTAATAAAAAGCATACTTAACCAAGGTCCTTAAAACGAGGAATTGATATAGTGAAAAGGACTGAAGGGCCAGAAAACGATAGTGATGCCAAATGCGCTCCTGTGTCTCGATAATGATTGTGCCCGTTATGTAACGAACAAAAGATTTGTAGTGTCTGAAAAAATTAATATCCAGAGACTGGATCTTTCCCGTAAATTCTTCAGGCACCAGTTCTCTTTGTATGACTTTACCATTAGCTACTTCGGAAGCAGACAATGCATGAACATAGAAGAAATTGAGACGCCATTACGGAAATATGTCCATCTATACAATGATACTTTGTGGATTCTATAGCTCTTAAACGCTTGTCCCTCTGCTCCTAAGACTTCCCAGTTTTTCTACATGTAATATAAGCTTTCAGAAAGTATATGGGTTTCCAGAAAACCGGTATCAAAGGAGAGAAGGTTTACTTATGAAATTTCGGTGACAGTGAAATTTATCATTTTGCACATTTTCCCTACAGAATCAACATTCTGATTAGTAAATATATTTAGGGAACTCAGTGTCTATATCTGTATATGCAAAATTCCCAGAGATATATGTAAGAAACAGGAACACTGTCAAAACAGTTAAAATCTAATGGCGAATGCTGCTTTCCCCGAGATGAAAGTATTTCGTATCTCATCTCTACAATTACTCACAAAACTGTCATTTTTAATTTGGGTATAAAAAACGAAATAATTGAAGTCTGCTAATTCGCTGTCAAATGCCTTCAAAACATTTGACGCATAAAGTATGATTTTATTGAAATTTTTAATTAATAACAGCTAGTTAGAGGAACTGAAATTTTTGCCCTCTATGAAATCACATAAAAGTCCTCTCTTCCTTTTCGCAATAATGCAATCTATGCAATCTTCACTACCTACAGGTGTGCAAGACTTTCAGTAAAATTTTGCACACCTGTAGAACAGTCTATTTTAAGACATAAATTTTGCACGCCTGTCTTATTTTAAGAAACCTTTTACTTGAAAGCATTAATCGATGTTAAGAATTTAAGGAAACAAAAGTGTGGGCACATTCTTCAAACTTCTATCTAAGACATTCAAGCAGATTAAAAATTTATATGGTCACTAATTTTTTTATTTGAAATGTATTATTGATTTCTAAAGTGAATTGCTGCAAAACAATCAAACTTCTTTCGTATAATTCTTTACTCTTTGACCATTATCCATAGTGTGTAATCTACTTGCAAGTAAAATATTCAGAATTGCCATTTATTCTTACTTCAAGCGCTAGATGGTGAAAGTATTTTTCGTGGGTTTGTTAAATAACAGCAAGCATAGCATAACAAATATACTTTGCGCAATAAATAAATAAATAAAAATAAAAAATAAAAAGGGGGGACTATATCTTCCGTTCGACTGGGCTGATCAACGAAGTTCAAAGTGCATTTTCAAGCGCTTTTTAATGACCAAATCGTTTCACAATTTTTCACAATCTCAGCGTTTTAGAATATGGAATTGTATATTTTTCTTTTAACAGACTTCTCTCTGACCAGAGTTTTTGATGTTGATATTCTTTTTTTATTCAGTACAGCTTTCTCTGTTAAGTTAAGATTGTGAGAAAAACCTCTTATTTTATCCCAACTATATTAAACATTAAATGAACGAATCCCATGGGTTACTCAGCACTTCTGTTACAGTCGTCTTTGTATGTCTTTCTAGGAGCTAATATATTCGTAGAACTAACCAGTGAGCTTCTAAACTGCATTGTTTAATCAAGAAGAAATTAAAAAAAAAGAGAAACGTTTACCGTCAACCGCAATTTACGTTAAAGCTCTTAGTAACCTTTAGAATATTTTTAAAGAAATCAAGAAGGATTATCTGTTTCTACTTTGGAAGCATTTTATTTTGCTACCAAGTCACTCAATTACTTAAAAAGGAGCACGTAAAACTGCGTCATATTCTTTTAGTCTTTCGGATTAAAGCTAAATATGAAGGCTAAATCATTCCGCTAGTAAGAGAACCAGCATTTTCCTCTGTTCCAAAGCCGTCACTATCACCAGTAAAAATCACTTCGTATTAAAGCAGGAATGGGCAAACAAGGGCCCGCCTAAAGGTGCTACCTGGTCAGCCATAAATTGAAAAGTCTATTACATTTATATAATATATTTACGATATTATTATATACTATACAATATTGCGTATTAAATGCTACTTTATTACTACTATACAAAAATTATTTTTCAGTGCATTTAGGTCTTCCGAGTATTTCTCTGCTTCAATTGCCTTGTGGTTATTAGGTGTCTGCCGATAACATCGCGTCAAAATCATCGCGGACGAAAACGTCGCGGAGAAAACAACCCAAGGCGAAAACGTCGTGATACAAAACATCGTGGGAGAAAACATCGCAAAGAGAAAACATCGCAGTTCTAAAACATCGTGGTACAAAATATCGTCGTCCAAAATAAAGCGGTTAAAAAACTTCGCAGTTTAAAAACATCGCCGTCGAAAATATCGCGGTAAAAATAAAGTATCGACAAATCATCGCAGGACGATAACATCCAGACCTGCTTCTTTCAGGCTTTAATAATTGTAAATGGATATTCCCATAATGATTTGTGAGCGCGAGATGGAAAGAAAGATAATTTTTTCTTTCATATTTTTTATTAACTAATAAATTTTTGCTGAAAAAGTTTGAAGGAAACTTAAGAATAAACTGAAGCAGAACAAGAAATAATTTTCATTATAAAAGAGTATTAGATTGACAAAAGTGAAGAAAATAATCTCATAATTAGCAACTTTTTATAGATAAGGTCATGCAGTTACGTAGCTTCCTTTTTCTAAACATTTTTTGATTATACTTTTAATGAAAAATTACCAGTAAAAACTTTATAAAAATGATTTATTAATGACCTTTGTTAGTTAACTATGTCAGTTTAGAATTCTATTAAGTGCTATAAGTTGCCTTAATTTTCTATGCTTAAATTTCCTTCTTACTTTTTCGGCAAAAATTTATTAGTTAATAAAAAATATGAAAGTAAAGATTATCCTTCTTTCCATCTTGCGCTCACAAATCATTATGCAAATATCCATTTACAATTATTAAAACCTGAAAAAAGCATGTCTGCGATGTTATCGTCATGCGATGATTTGTAGGTACTTTATTTTTTACCACGATATTTTCGACGTTGATGTTTTTAAACTGCGAAATTTTTTAACCGCTTTATTTTGGACGACGATATTTTATATCACGATGTTTTAGAGCTGCGATGTTTTCTCTTTGCGATGTTTTCTCCCACGATGTTTTGTATCACGACTTTTCGCCTTGCTTTGTTTTCTCCGCGAAGTTTTCGTCCGCGATGTTTTCGGCTGGAACCGGTTATTAATATGGCTTGATAAATTCTGAATTTTTTTTTCTTTTCATCTAATTTATCCACAAGTTTAACTTTATCTAAAAAGTAGTTACTGTCCCAGTCAATTGAAAAAAGGTTTTTTTTCTTTTGCCTGGAAATCTTCGTTCAGTTTACCTGTTATATCCGTGATAAAATACATATTGGATAATCAATTATTATCGTCCAATTCTTTATAACTTTCGTTTCCGGATTCCGAAAACTGCTTTATTGGCGAAAGATGTTCTACAAATCGTTGAAGTACTTTTCCCCTGCTGAACCATCTAACATCGGAATGAAGCAATAAGATTCCGTGTTCGCTATCAAGTTAATCAGTCAGCAATAAATTACATCTTGCAAGATATGTCTTATGACTATAAATGCTTACCATATTTTAACAAATAAGAAATATAAATGAATGGTTATTTTTAAAATATTTTTGTTCATAGTACATACTCGTGCTGGCGAGCACACACAAAACGATCGGCGAGCACAAGGTTGGGCACCGCTGCCGTAGTCACCGCAACGTCGTGAGAGTGGCATGCGGGAGCTATGCGTCATTTCCATATAATCCGAGATAGCCAAGGCGGAAAGCATGAGCGGAAAATATTTCCACGATGATATAAGGGATGTCGGGATATAGCAAGTTGGTGCAAGACAATTCATTGTTGCCAGAGAGCTGAATGTCCGTCGTAATATCATCAACAGATTGTGGAATCATAACCAAAGAGATCAAAACTCTTGTAGAAGACTTGTGTCTGGACGCCGGAGGATTACTCCAGCGGCAGACGATCGCTTCCTATTGCTATGTGAAAGACGCCGTAGACCACTAACAGCACGACAACTGGCGTCGCATCTCTCTGTTGCTGCAGGACGGCCCATATCCCTCAAAACTGTGTAGCGTCATCTGCATGAAGGTAGACAATAGCTCGACGACATGTGGTTTGTGTGCCTTTGTCCCCATAGCATATCAGAGAGCGGTCGAATGGGGCCCGCGAACATCGCAGTTAGACAGCAGAGTGGTGTTGCTACATACTCTTTACGGATGAATCTCTATTTAACATCCAGCATGATTGCCGAAGAGTAATGATATGGCGAGAGCTAGGGACACGCAATCGGGCGCAAAATATAGTCGAAAGAGACTATTACAGAGGAGGCGACGTACTTCTATGGGCTCACAGCCGTCCGATATCGCAACAAAGGGAATACTGGTGGCAAAACGTACAAGGCAGAAGAGCCTTTAGATTTATCCCAAGCATCAAAGAGAAGAACAATAGCATTAACCCTTACATAAATTGTTATGTTACTGGACACGGCCCCTTCCCCGCATATTTCTATGAAAGAAACATCTCTGAAAGTGACATATGTGTATATGGAGATACGGGTGATCCAGAGTACAACATTTTTTATTGTCCCATAACAGAGGAACTAAATCTTAAAAAAGCCCCTCAAAGCTTGGATCTGTTTTTAAGATATGCACAACAAATAACCATCTTCGAATAAAAATACAAAAAATAATCAAGCTCTTAGCAGCAAAAACACAAGAGTTATGTGCCCCTATTTAAAAGAATCCCTCTCAGTTTCTCTAACTAGTTACACTATAACTAGGGAAACGTACGATAGCGCAAATCGTCCATAGAACTTTGTATGGCGTACAGATTGCTCATCATATAATTCTTTCAATATTTTTTTTTTCGTTTTGTAAGTTGGCAACTGGATGAGTTGGACTCAAGATGCAGTAAAAAGAATGACGACGATGAAGACGTAAATAAAAATGTATCGAAGAAGTTAATTCAGTTTATACTAATTTACTTATTAAAAATGTAAATACTTTAAATGTAATTAAACGTGCTGTTCTTTCAAGTTTCTTAGTTTAGTAGTTTCTTAGATTTTTTTAAGAAGGTATCCACTACTTTAATGTAACTGCACTATAGCATGTATACTCATAACAGTGATATGTTAAATATAATTAATGTGGTTGTAATGTTCCAACCTAGAATGCGTGGAATCTTAAGAACTGCTAAACGAATAATCGCTCAGTTCAGAAAGCTAGAAACGTAAACGTAACGAAGGGTTAATTACCCTTTATCATTCAAACTAAATTTAACAGTTGACTCCTTCTCGGAGTTTACAGCAAAACCTCCACTTGGGCTTGAACTCAGAAATACTAAGAAATAAAACTTAACAGATATAGCCGAAGCTATCAGGATTCTACAAGAGTTGGTCCCTTAACGCTAACTGAACGGCGAAGCCATTAAAGGCATGAATGGTTATTAATATGGCCATTTGTCTCCGTGCCTCTAATTTGGCGGCTCCGAATTTTTTATTCGATGTCCCTACCTAAAAAAATGCTGTACAAGCATAGCCCCACAAGTGTTGAAAAATCTAGTGCCCAGTATATCTCTTAAAATGCATGGATTTCAAGAAAATGATTACAGCATTACATTGGGGACCGTCCAAGCATAATTTTAAATGTTATCTAGTCAATCTCTTTAGAAATCTTCTCTTATCTTATTGTTACTTTAAGACTTATTACATGTTACAGCGTCTCGTATTCTTAGCAAGCATAAACTAACGAGATGCTAGATAATTTCGTGAGGAATTATCCTCAATTCTTAAGTACGTCAAAATCCAGAAAAGGGAGCAAAGAACCCTTTATTAATTAAGATACAATAACACGCCGAACAAATAATAATTTAGAAGTCAAACAACAAAAATCAGCGTTATATTTTCAAATTTTCACAGGACTAGTTTCGATGGGTTTACCGAACCATCATCCTCAGCTGCAAAAGTGCAAATGAGCGAGGTAAGATATAGTGATTGGATAAGATAAGAAAGCCTGGGCAGGAGATAAGCCACTGGCGCCATCTGTTGATGAAACCAGAACTAAAACATAATTTTTTTAAAGGCTGAAGGCAAAGATGGATTGGAATGAGGGTCGTTAACTAGAACAGAAAGATTTTTTTTGAATGCGAAATGCCTCTAGAAAATCTAGTTCACCAATGGAAGATGTTTTTTCTTATCTAATCATTATAGCTTATATCGTTCATTTGCGCTTTTGCAGCTGGGAATGATCGTTCGGTAAAACCATCGAAACTAGTCCTGTGAAAATTTCAAAATGTAACGCTGGTTTTTGTTGTTTAACTTCTAAATCCTTTATTCACTCAATTTCTTTCACAGACGGCATCGAGCTTACAAAAGCTAACACTTCTGGCTGAACTCAAAAGGTAACAAGTAACTTAAAAGTGAATAGAATTAAATTAGCCTAACTATCTTTCACAGGTTATTTAACACGCAGGCAGGCACTGACTCGTAAAATTCGGAGTAAACAAGCTTAATGGTTAGAAACGTTCCACGCCTTAGAAATCTAAACGCTAGTAAATCAGAGACAGCAACGTGGCCTTCAAGTGGCAGAACACGCTTTCCTCTCTTTCTGAATTCACCTCTTAAAGCGTTCCCTTAAATACTAACTTCTTTCTGCTTTATTTTGATTACACGAGAGCTGACTCATTAACAACTGGCAATAAAGCGTGTGTTGAAAAACGATAATAATAGGAAAGATTGTTTTAAAAATAAAATTTACTATTAGGTAAATTAAATTAATCCCTACAAAGTTTTAAACTTCTGAGTGTTTAATTATTATTTCAGAATTTCACAATGTCCTTGCTACTATCAATCTTTTAAATCTGAATGCTCAAAACGCTGATGTACGCAATGTCTGGTGCAACAGCACTTGTCAGAAGCCAACCGTCTCAACACTGCATGTGGAATTTCGTGAATTGCACACTTTATGTCGTTTACTAAGTCATGCTAAATTCTCAGCGCTATGTATGCGAGGTCGATTCTGTGAGTGCTTTCATTGAATATAATCCAAACACAGAACAATACTACCTCACCTTTTTATTCTCAAATTTATTTTTGAAGTTAGGGATTCCTGACTTTATGAGCATCCTGTATAAGAAATAACATCAGACCTATTATACCCGGTTAGATGCTTTTTAATATGGGTTGTATATATTTAAGTTTAGTTAATAAAAAAACTACAATTCGCAGTTTACTATTTTGGTCTTTCTTTCAGGAACTTTCACCTCGAAGTCAGTGAGCATTGTAATAAAGATTACGTTGAAATCCGGGAAAAGGTTGAATCTGGGCGTTTGATTGGACGATACTGTGGAAGTCAGGTACCAAGTAATGTGACGGATGCCCAGAAACTGTGGATCAAATTTAGATCGGATGACATTGATTCATCGAACGGATTTTATGCGCAATATATCATACGTGAGTCTAGATTTAATTATGCTTGTTTTTGTCTTCTGATGACACAGATTTATAATTTATATACAGTTTAGAAAAAAATATTGTCAACTAAAGTAAGTTACTTATAATTAATAAAGAGACGGCATTGAATTTGGCGTAGATTTAGACAAAATAATCAATCGATTTCATAAGCAAAACAGGTCCCTCTTCACCAGCAGCAAAGAAATTTGCAAGATTGGAATTAGACTAAAGCGACTTGGACTAAAGCTGCATTCCAATCTGCTGCGGCGGTGATGGTCTTATTTATACCCTACTGCAGTAAAGTGAACAGTGAGGTAGCGCCATCTATCGGCAAAATTAGTAACGAAAATTGAAAAATTGAGAGAATAGAATTTTAAAAGTATTTGAAAGGACTGGATTGGATTTAAAATCATTAACTAAACAAATTAACTAAATAAGTTGGTTAGTTGGCTAACTTTATTCGGATACTATTATTTTATACATCTGTGTAACGCTAACCATTATTTACCGAGGCTTTTTTCATGATGTTTTAGAATGTATAAATCATAATTACCGGATCAATGATATAAAAAAATTCTAAATGTTTTAAACTTAAAATACAGGACATTGTGGAAAGTCTCTTTTATTCGTTACATGTAGGGAAAATTAGAAAGAGTTAAACGAATCCCGCTAACTCAGCTACAAGTAATTAATATTTTAACTAACAAAAAGGGCTTTAACGTATATCGTACGGTCGTACGTCCGATTTTAAGGGTTTTTGTTGCCCAAATATGTAAAGCAAAGCTTCTAAACCTTCATTTCTGCATCTTTAACTCCAGAAATAACTTTTCGAGCCCCCCACATGACACTGATTAAGTGATATTTACAAAGCCGCTATACAGTAAAATTTCCAGTTAGTTAAATATTATTATACTTTGATACCAGTTCAACTATACAGTTGTAAATAATTTTAAACGAAACCATAACACTTCAACGTAAGTTTACACTTCAACTTAGCTTCTAGTTTTGTGCAGCTACTCAAGCGATATATCGCTCCGTTTTAGTTTTCCAGAGAAACAACTATAAGCTTAGAAATGTGTTTAAAATTACCCTTTTATAAGTACTTCAACATAACGAATTACGCAGCTTATATACTGTTGCGTTCTATGGGTTCGTAGATTTGGAGTGATTGATAGCGACACTTGATGGAGAATCACAACACAATTTTTTCATCAGTATTACACAGGAGAGTTAAAAAGAGACGCTTACAGCCGTCGAAATGCTACGATAAACGCGCTGAAACAATCAGTAAAACAGGCTATAACGGCGAAGACAGCTCCACGGCAACGCACTAAAGTACAGCTTCCGACTCGGTCGATCGCTCTCGAGCTGAGCTCTAAACTCCAGACACTACTACCACACTACTAAATTCAAGATACTACTGTCTCTGTGTACAGGCAGTGTACTCCTCACTGTACTCTTCTAACTCGATACTCTTCTAATCTGCTATGCCGCGTGCAGGTAGAGTACTTATATACCTTTTGACCTGCCTTCGAGAACATTCTGGAGAAAACCGGTAAGAAATCGATGTAGAATGTTCTAGCTCCGTCTACAGCATATCGCCAATTTTGTCGCCATATGTCGCCAAATGGGCAATTTCATTCCAAATGTGGCAACCTTGCCTTTCCTTGCCATGTTTTGGTAACTCTAAATCCGCTTTGTGGGAAAGCTATCTTACCACAGCTGGGATTTCTTAAGCGTATTATAAAACAAATTGCGGTACTTACGTACTATCGCAACCACGTTAGTAGAAGTAATAAAATTTTCAGAAAGTGCCAAATTCTGGCAACCTTATTCAAAACAATCGTTTCAGTCTAGCAACGTCGCAATTTTTGTATGCGCTCTATTTTATTGTATCCCAAGTTCCAACGGTTTTATGCACAAATCGTGATATCTTTTGCCTTAAAGTTAGTTTTAAAATATAAGTTAGTGAAATCCACCAGCAATGGAAGAAATTACGGTCAAATTTCCTCAGTAATGCAGAATTTTTCTGAAAAATTTCTAAGGGGAACAACGAGGAAATGCGTTTACTAGCTAGCCGCTGCTGCCGAACATTTCTCCGCAGTTCTCTGTTGTTTTTGAAGTGTAAAAAGATTGCTGTATACTTCGTGAGAAGAATAACGCAAAAGAAAATATATGCAGATTTGAAGAATGCTAGTGTTTTATTTTTTAATGTATGACATAATCCCTGTTGAATAATTCGGTAAATAATTGTTCAACAAACTTATAATAAATATCCATAGTATGAGAAGCTTTCTAAAAAGCAAGGCATGAATAACACCATCTCGCACATGTTAGGTAATTTTTACATTTTCACCGATTTAAAAATCGCCAAATTACGCCAAGAAGGTTGCAATACGTACCCAAATTGCTGCTTGCGAGACTTAAACTAACATAAAATTAAGAAATTCAAGGTGTAAATTCACAAAGCAAAATCCTATCGTAAGCGGTGGCTCAGAACTTCAAACCACTCTCGAAACGAGGCTAACAAAAGGCTCAAACCGTTCTTTTTTAAGGGTCGTTCTCAAAAGCTCTGCCATTACTTCCGGAATTTTGTTCTTAAATACTTTAACTAATTTGCATTCTGGTGATAGCCAACGAATATTGAATTAAGAATACAGATGAAAATAATAAGAATAATGGGATAATAAATGTAAAACCTTGCGGTCTACCTAAAGGGCCATTCAGACTGGGCTTTATCTGAGCTAACGGAGACAAATGAATTAGCAGACACATCTCCAAAGCCAGTTCTTCCCCATAGCGCAGCGAGTTGAAAAATCTGAAATGCAAACATAGGGGAGCTAGTCGACACATGGAACTGACTCCATTAGCTGAGATAAAGCCTACTTTGAACGGTCCTTAAGAATATTGCCAATGTAACTCAACACTGAGTTTCGATTCACAACAATCTTACAAACAACAACGGAACAGAAATTGCATATTTTGCTAATCATGGCTTCACCTTATGTAAATCCGCTTGCATTATTAAATATCTAGTTGACTTCTATAAAATGTATATTAAACTTTTTAAACGAACTTTGCACTTAATTTGTATATTTTGCTCCTAATTAATTAGAACACAATGAATATTTTGTTATAATTTTTACCCTTTAAGGATTACATAAAATTTAAATTTTCCCTAAAAGCCATTCTACTGAACGTATTTTCGTAAAATTCTGAAGAACAAAGAATGGTTGTCAGAAGAGACCTTTCTGAAAATTTTTACTACTTCTACTAAGATGGTTGCGACAGTACGTAAGTACTGCAATCTGTTTTGTAATACTGTTATGAAATGCCCAGCTGCGGTAAGATACTTTTCCCGCAAAGCGGGTTTAGGGTTACCAGAAAGTGGCAAGGAAAGGCAGGATTGCCACCTTTGGAGCGAAATCGCCTATTTGGCAACATTTGGCGAAAAAAATTGCCGATATGCTATAGACGGAACGAGGACATTCTAAAACGAATTATAACAGGTTTTTCCCCAGAATGTTCTCGAAGGCAGGTCAAAAGCTATAAATACCCTACCTGTACGCGAAGTAGCAGCTTGAAGTGTACAACTAAATATCTAAAACCGATATTTGCTCGTAAAGAAAACCCACAGCGATTGTTCCGGTTTGAATAAACACTTTTCTCTGTCTTTGAAGCTCAACACTAAAATCAGTAGAAGGTCGTTGATTTAGAGAACGCTGAATGGCAACAGTGTAAACAATTAGTTTACTTTCGATTTATTTGATGCAGCTCCACTGCTGCTGATGAGATGTACACTGCGCAAAAGAGAAAATGGAACAGTTCGATATCTCCCATTCTACTGGGCTGATTGACAAAATTCAAATTGCGTTTTTCATGTCTCGAAAGCGCGACTTAGGATATGTATTAGATTTATATATAGTTTTGTTCTAATATAGGTATTTTGACGCAAAATCGGACTTTTTCTGAAAACACATGCCAATTTTTTTTACATATTTCGATTCTACGATTAAAATTATGCCAAACTGACAAGTTTTGTAAACATCGCACGAGTAGTTTTTAAAAAAAAATTAGGTGTCAAAATTCTAGCTGCTCAATGCTAATTGAATATATATTCATTAATATTTTTTTATTGAACTTATTTGATTCTTACTTTCATATTTCGAAATTTAGGTTCATTTCAAATAAAATTCGCCCACTTTTTATGATTTATTTTTAAATTTGTATTTTTAAATAATTTTTATAAATTTTTCGAAAAATATTTTGAATTATAACCGAGAAATGTTTTACCATCCTCTTAAAGTAGATGTATTTCTAAGCATACCTGCAAAACATTACAGCTTTTTATTCAAAATTTCCTAAGACATACGTGAATTTACATTTTGGCGCGTTTTGAAATTTGGCATATTTATTATTAGCAATAATAAAGAAAATGTGGTTTACGCACTTTGTTGAAACTATTTGAAAGTGTGAATGATGACTTTTATCCGCTCGTGGACAATGAAGAAAAAGGAAAGGAAAATAGGTTGCTATAAATTAAGAAATTTACGAAGGGAATTATTCTTGGCGCAGCCTGAAGAAAATTCGCCAAGATAAATTTTTAAATTCCTCCATAAATTTCTAGCCAAAAGTTACAAAATTTTATATTTAAACATGATTTGAATCTTAGAATCGAAATATAAAAAAAAGGGGTATGCTATTTCAGAAAAAAACCGATTTTGTGTCAAAATATCTAAGTTAGAACAAAGCCAAATATAAATCTAATATATATCCTAAGTCGCGCTTTCGAGACATGGAAACCGCGATTTGAATTCCGTCAATCGGGGGTATTGAACTTCTTCTTCTTCTTCTTCTTTTTTTTTTTTTTTTTTTTTTTTTTTTTTTTTTTTTTTTTTTTTTTTTTTTTTTTTCCCGCAGTCTACAAGTCTACAAAGATTTTAGATTAGATTCATTTGTTGTTAAATTCCCTTTTAAACTAGAATGAATGTTGATTTAGACAGAAATACCCCTGAACCATACATGCAGAAATTTAGATGTGGTATTTAGATTTATTTCAGATACGCTTCGCCATTTTTATCCATTGAACAGCCTTTTTCTTTTCTTAGATACACACTATATAGTATTTATAATAACTTTAAGGATGTAAGTCTAGATATTTATGTAATATAAGCATTTGCATTTTTCCTCAGAACCTAGTAATGTGCTAAATGGAACGGAAGGGGAAATTGCATCTCCAAGTTATCCACACAAATACACCTTTTCGAATGTAGAATGGACTGTCATCGTCCCATCAGGCATGTTCGTCAGCGTTCGCTTCTTCGATTTCGGGATTGCCGACATTAGTACATCACACTCTTGTATGTCTTCTCTAAATGTAAGTATAAAATTTATTCATTCATGTTCGGATTATATAAAATGTAGACACTTCTCATGTGATAGCCAATCTGCTTTGCCATGTAATGAAAGATCGTTATTTTAATGAAAATTAATCTGTAATAACTTCATTGTTTTTACGTTGTCTCACCATAAATGGCTGAAACACATCTGTAATAATTTCAAAATAGTAATGTGAAATTCATCATAATAATTATTTTTAGCCCAAACGGGTGTTACCCAGAATGGGCTATTAGTCTCGAATTGGGATTTGGCAAAGTATAACTTTAAATGTCAGAATCACTTTGTAAAATGCTGCTACGAATTATTATCCCTCTGTATTATTTTCAAAGAAATTAAATAATGAAAAATATGCATGAATGTATGTATGTTTGTCGCACTATGAAAAAAACCACGGTATCTAGGAACATCAAGCTTTGGATAACGTAATTCCCCACCCGAACATATGCACCTGGAAGCCTGAATTTTGAGTTCCAAATTTTAGATTTCATATTGTGTAAAACTTTAAGGTATGCGAGCAATGGCAACACTGAATAGATTAAAGCGTTGTTATCTGCAGTAGGCGCTCAATCCTGGAACGAATTCTATTGTTTGCTGGAAGAGGCCAAGATTTGTAGGTATGGTACGTGAGAGTAGGGATGAGCTAAGAGGAGAAAGGAAAAGGGATTTTGAGTATAGGGAATTTCAGTCGTTCCGGGATTGAGCGTCTACTATGAACGGGCTCCTGCTTTGTGAGGGTAGCTAGCGTTTCGTTAGTAAGTGTATTATTTATTATTCTTATTGATTGTCTGCTCCTTTTTTTTTTTACAGTTACAATTTTCTACAATACCTTAAGTAAATAAAAACTTTACAGTTACGTATTGTAACTCCATGTAATGCTCTGTTACTTTACCGTAATAAGAATTGTAATAAATATTAAACTTCGTTGGAATAAACAAAATTATGTAATTTCGCCAAAACGTTATGCCTTTAAGCAAATTTTAAATAAGCATACAATTTTACATTCCAAACACGTATTTCTCTACGAAATATTTTTTTTTTGTTTCATAAATTGATAAAAATTAATCTGTCTTTAAACTAAATGTTCAATAAAACATGGAGCATGAAAATAAGCAGTGAAACTTTTTCCACGGTTCGGGAATAAGTCAGCGAGCATATCCCTTTTTTCCCTAGTACCCACTGAAAGCCATTCCACGATCTAATTATTATTTCCGTTGGAAACCATTCCGGAAACTTTCCTTTCTATTCCTCTCACCTGCGTATATTGAACTCGCCCAGCTGACAATAGCAGGCGTTCCGAGATTGACGGTCTAGTGTTATCTGCAGCGTGCGAGACTGTTTATCGGAAATTTTTAAGATAAGCTGCTTTTAAATGTTTTCTGATTTTACTATTGAATTCAATTTTTTGTGGCATAAGTGCGCAGAACTTGAATTTTAATTAATAAATTTATAACACGAAACGTTAATAAAAAAAGACAAAAAAAATTTGCAAGCTATCTTACTAAGAAAACTGTACACTGATGTAATAAGCTAAGAAAAGACTTAAAAAATTGAAAAATGCATACGAACGCTTAATAACTCATTGGGAATGCTAAACACATGCTGCTTTTAAAATTCTTTTAATGTCGCTTTTGTATTGTACATGGCATAAGTGGGAAGAAAATGATGCCTAACAATAAAGCTAAAAAGACAAAAAAAAATTGGGTTAGTCGGAGGGAGTCTAATAGCAGAATATAATTTTGAATTATAACCTATAGCATTTTTACCACCACCTTAAAGTAGATGTATTTCTAAGCATACTTGCAAAAAAATTAGTTTCTTATTCAAAATTTCCAAAGATATATGTGAATTTGTATATTGGCGCCTTCTGAAATTCAGCATGCTTGTTAATTAATTTTTATAAGCAGTAATAACCATAGAGGTTAGAATAGATGGAGTAAGCCTTCGCCGCATGTCTCGTGCAATGAAAATGAAGCCATGAAACGTCACGGCGTGACGTCATGACTGATAATGGCCGCTTCCATAACCCAGAATGATAAGAATATACTGAAATAGTAAAATAACCTGTTTATGGAATTTACCTATGAAATGCAAAATTAGCTGGTGCACAACCGGGATGATTGTTACAACCGGGATTTATTAGTGCAGTGCTTAAGCACTGCACTAATAAATTTTATCACGCTGAGTAGTTTCAATGCAACTTTAATCAAAACTATTGTCTTATCCGTACGGTGGCTATCATCGGTTGTGACATCACGCTGTCGATATTTTTCTGGCTTCAAGTTTGTGACGTCATGCTTACTCCATCTATTTAAACCTCCATTGTGATAACACCAGATCTTTAACCAGATTGTGATAACACCATACGCACTTTGTTAAAATTATCTGAAAAAACAACAACAATGAGCCATTTTTTCTGATCGTGCTCTATTGAAAAAAGAGAAACGAAAATAGGTTACTATAAATTAAGAATTTCACCATGTTAATTATTCTTGGTGCAAACTGAAAAACGCGCGCCAAGATAAATTTTTAAATTCCTTTGTAAATGTCTCACGAAATTTATGAAGTTATATTTGGGCCTAATTTGAGTCGTAGAATTGGAATATAACAAAAAAATCGTCCAAATTTGTGTCGAAATATCTATGTTAGAACAATGCTGTATATGAATTTAATAGATAATCCTAAATTGTGTTTTCGAAACCTAAGAAACGCATGTTAAATTTCGTCAGTCGGCCAGGCACAACGGGATATTTAGAACTGCCCCCCCCCTCTTTTTTTGTGCAGAGTGTACATACTATGCATTACCTACACTTGAATTTAAAATATTAAAGAAATTTTAATTTCGCATTTGCTTATTTAGATTCGCCATTTTAATGGCCTTTTACAAATACCGTATTTATTCTCACATATCTCGCCATCGCTTATTCAGCCACAAAATTTTAGCATGAAAATTTTAAAAATTTTATTTTAGAGTAATAACATGCAATTCGCGAATTGCTAACACAATGCACTATGTAAGTAAACAGGTGCGCAACGAATGAGCTGTAACTAAATTATGTATATAAATTAGTATGCTTCATCATATTTGCAAAGTTCTTATTTTAACTGCTTTTTCCGAAATAGCATATATATACCATGTAATGTAGTACATATACACCATGTAATTTTCACTTCTCGATTTTTATGAACTGAATGCAGGAGGACGATATACGCGAAAGACTGTGATGTTATTATACTGCATAGCTAACTTATCGATTTAAGTAATCTTAGTCACAGTCATCTTGTGTTACATTGCTCTTTTAGTATTCAAAATATATTAAACTTTATGAACTATTTTTGTTCATTTGAAAAAAATTAAAAACGCGCTTTTGATAATAATCTCAATTTCAGAGTTTTCACAAACTTTCAGCATTCTAACACTAATTTTTGAAACGACAGTTTAGCACGACCCCGTCTATAACAGATCTTTAACCCGAAATTCAGAGAAGAAAATCTTAGAATTAAAGAATGTAACGAAGAAATAATAATGAAACATCTGCACAAAATTATTATTACCAAATTACTCATTAAAATTAATTTAGAGCTCATTAAAATTAATTTATAATGTTCAACTAATATACTCGTGGTAGATGCATAACGGAAAAGTGCCTAAAATTGTACCTAGCCTCTTTCCAAGGCAGGTGACGAAGGACAGGGATACCTGGTGTCTAACAAAGGTAATCAGGTATATGTCCCACGCCCTCCGCTACCTTGAACCGGTAGCTCCCGAGGCCTGCCTCTGGAGGAAAACAAATTTCGCAAACAAATTTGTTTTATCCGTACGCTACAGGACGGTGGCTATCATCAGTCGTGACGTCAAGCTGTTGATATTTTTTCGGCTTCAAGTTTGTAATATCATGCTTACTCCATCTATTCTAACCTACATGGTGATAACACCAGATGTGCTTTACGCGCTTTGTTAAAATTATCTGAAAAAACAACAACAATGCACCTTTTTTTATACTCGTGCTCAGTTGAAAAAAGGGAAACGAAAATAGGTTACTATTTCACCAATTATTCTTGGTGAAAACTGAAAAAAACCGAGCCAAGGTAAATTTTTAGATGCATAACGGAAAAGTATCTAAAATTGCACCTACCCTCTTTCCAATACAAGTGACAGGTGACGAAGGACGGAAATATTCTCTAGTCTAACAAAGGTAAGCAGGTATATATCGTACGCCTTCCACTACCTTGAACCGGCAGCTGCCGAGTTCCATCAGCAAAACTAAGAAATTTCGCAAACAATTTTGTTTATTTATTTATGGTAAAGCCCTCGAGGGCTATATGCTTAAGGACAGGGATGACTTCGTGGACGACACTCTTAGGGAAGCTGGCTCGTATACACGTTATATTTACGTTAAGAAAACTACGAAAACACCCCATACAGCCAGCACGTTCGGGCCGGGATTCGAGCCACGGACGAATTATCAGCGTTTAGCTACTCTTAGAATTTCGACGCATTGTTAAAGCAAAATCTCGAAAATCCTATTGCTCTAAAAGACGTAATCTTTGCATTCACCGTATAAAATAAATAGGAAGTCAGAGATGACGAAATGTGTTACCTTTGATTAATGCATATAAATTTGGGCCTAAAATGTCGTCAGGGAAAAGAAACATTCTGTTATGTTTCTTCATAACACGAAGACAGCTCGTAAAATATATCTCTGAATTTTTTTAGCTAACAAAATCTGGTATTATTTTCTCAATTTAGTACGCAGATAATTAAAATTTCAAGCATGGGAATTATATTGACAATTTAATTCCTCGATTAAAATGCTTTAGCGTATTTATCAATCAATCTTTTTTGTCGACAGTTAAAATCCATTCTTTACAACGATCATTTTACGTAGTCTCTTTTACGTTAGTCCCTACGAGGTCCCTGTGGTAATGCAATTCGGGTCAGGATAATTATATACTCAGAAGAAAGAAAAAGGATTTTATAACCTACAAAAAAAACTGTTTCGTAACTTACTGCCCGCGGTAGCACTGATCTATAGAAATGAAGATCTGCGAGATATCTGGTTTAAAGGAGATTATCATTATCTTGAATAATATCTACTATCATTAATTCAGTAATTTCTTATCATGACTGTAGACTAAATAAACCAGTCTAATACTCATTCTAATTTCAGTGCAAACTTTCTGCAGTTAGACTACTGTCATGAAAGTTTACATATCTATAATGCAGGAAAATTTTCTTCCGTGCACAAATTGTAATAATAGCACTTTTTCTACTGAAATGAACCAAGGCAGATTGTTTATAACCAATTGGTTCCCACTACAGATATATGATGGCTTCGATGACACAGCTCCAAGCCTTGGGGAATTATGTGGATATCACATACCCGAACCGCTTGTCAGCACCGGAAATGTTATTTTCATCAGACTTGTCGTCGACCATCGTTACGCTGCAAGCTTCCATCTCCAGTGGGCAGCTGTGACGGAATCTGGGGTCGTGGAATCACCTTCAGCAGGTAAGGGGTATTAATCATATAACATATAAGATTTCATGTCTAAAGTGTGGCAACTGTTACATTCTATCAAAATAATGATCAAATTTGTTTGTATTTGGTTGAATAATAATGAAGAAGAATGTTTCTAATAAATCTTTTAGATTATGTATATGAATATAAGTGAAGTTTTGTTGCATTAGTGCTGTCGCGGGTTCCTTTGTATTTCTTTGAATGATCGCTTCAATCAACAGGAAGAAATTAAAAGTTTGTGATAAAATTAGTTACAAACAACAATTCAAATAGCTTAAGCAGAACAATATCTCCTTACCGCGCTAGAAATATTAGCTGTTGCCAAGATAAGATAAGATATGAGCATTCCTCGTTCTTCGAAACTAAACCGCACTACGAGTTCACTTGCCCCTTATAATCAGGCACAGAGGTTCCGATGTCACACCTCGGAGAGAAAGACGTATCGCTTAAAGCGATACTGGTCGTCAATTTACTACTTGCCATTCACTCGGGCTGCCCGTCGCACTGGGACATTACCCAGCGAACCCGGGCGCTAGCCCCGGGCTACTTGAGCCACACCGCTCTAGGACTCCCCAGACCACCGGGCATGCCAATGAGTGACCCTTCCGAGACCTCCAGAATAAGTAGGTTCATAACGTTTATCCTACCGTGAATGAGACTGCCTATGTACAGATCCTAGCCAGTAGCTTTGCAGAATTCTCTACGTCGACCTCTGGGGAGAGCAGTTGCCAAAATCGCTTGTACAAAAAACTTAGAATTCAGCCAAACCTCATAGCTAAATAACAATTAAAAGAATTGTAATAACCTGTGAGTTTTGACAGCATCTACAAGTCGAGGCATCCAGCAAATCGCTAATACCTCTTCATCTCGTGATGTCATTCGACTCTTCACTGTTCGTTTGGTGTCAAGTGCGCTTTGGCATCGCCGAAGCTGCGAAAGTCGCAGGAATGAATCATCACGAAAAGACTGAGTCATTTTTATTACTAAATTAGAAAAATTATTCTACTAAAATGCTCTTGTTGAGTTTCGCGAGGAAGGAAACTGATCTAATCCAATTAAGATCTTCTCGGTAAGAGTGGTCACAAACGACAGCAACTCCGAGAAGTCGTATTTATGCTACTTTTTATGATTTTTATTGCTTGGTTGTCTTGGGTAACCGGTTAGTTTACTTTGAAAAAATTAGAGTGCTCAATGCAGGCGTGACGCCTGAATAATGGTGCATGGAATAATGGAACAGTACCTCGGGTCTATTTTTTTCAGTTTTCGGTATAAATAAAATATAAGCTTCTAGAAAATTCAAGAAAGATGTGTCGATTGAAGATCGTATCTCGTGTTTCACTTAAGCTATTTTTACATTTTGCACTTTGACATTCTTAGATCAACAAAATCAGCAATTACAAATTAGAATCAAACACACGTTCAAAAAAGGCTTAAAATACGAAACAAATAAAGAAGTAATACATGTGACAGGTGAGAGCGAGACAGCAATATAGTATAGTACTAAAATAAAAAGAATTCGAATATATACAGATTTATAAGTGCAAAATATAGATGCAACAATGCCTCCTTCTCAAAAACGGCGCATTCGGATACCCACCACTACGCTGTTTAGTTTCTTGATCACTCAGAAGGGTCCCTCCCGAGCATATTTCACTAGTGCACATCAGCAAAGCCACTGAGGGAGAGGTTTCGAAAATGGGCCAATGAGCTTCTATTTCTCTTGTGACGCTAAATCTTCGTGCATGTAAGCGTATGTTGTTTATCTTTTAATTCGCATTTGTTTCGCAGTTAGGAATGTGTGGTGTAATAATAGAAAATCTCGTAGTGCTTTCGTTTTATGAGTTTAATGAATCGCTAACATTTCACTTTTGCGATTTTTTATCATGCATTAATATTTGGATTGATGTTCGCGGCATAATATCGCTTTTTACATCGAGAAAATGACTTAAGCTTCAGTTAGCCTCGAATATTATGCATTTACTAACACCTGTGGATAAAGAGAATTCAAGTGTATAGTTTTTTTTTTTTTTTTTTTTTTTTTTTTTTTTTTTTTTTTAATTGAGCCGAGAAGGACCGAAAGTGTTACAATGAATCTAGTGTTTTCTTATTTCAGTGCTTGCATTCTTTTGATTTTGAAAGTGTAAAATTCAGAATGCATATTATGATCTGATTATATCCGTTGTTAACGTTAAAAGTTATATGTGAATAAATTGAATATATTCGTTGTGAATAAGATAAATTTATTCTGTTTGATGAATATTTCTTGTGTAGACAGACATTTAAGAGTGAGCAGTTATTAAATGTGAAATTTAATACACTAAATATATACGAATGCAAATTAGTAAAGTTTACTTTGAATAAAATTCTGCATTGCCTATTATTATGGAACGTCTCTTTCATATAGACTGAAAAAAAAAGATGCTGACTTCTATTTACATATATAATTGGTGTAAATATTTTTCTCATATGCATAGTTTTATGTAAAGATAGCGTTTGGGCTCAGATGTTAATCACATATTTCTTTCTTCATCTTATTTACCACTTATTAAGTAATATTTCACATGGATAATTTTGCGGAGTATCCAAAATGTGTTTGTGTTTATTTCAAATTCTTTCAACCAGATAGTGAAATCTTCACAATATTTTATCTTTGGAATGGAAATTTTCAGAAGAAATCGACGATTCTTTAATTATTTTCTACACAAAATTGCGTGGCTGAATATTTTCAGCCATCTTGCTTAAATCTTAAAACACGCGAAAGGTCATGTGACATGAGAGAAATATTACTAAATGCCCATTGGTCCATTCTAGAAGCCATTCCCTCGGTGGTTACACAAATGTGCACTTGTGAAATATGCCTCCCGAGATATCTTCTGGGAGATTCCTCGATATCTTGGGGTTCCACAATCAGACTTGATCTCCTTTGTTGAAATCCCTCTTCGTGAACTTGGCATCTTATCTCCTATTCAGTCTCTCGGTGGCTGAGCCACCTGAGGAAGCTTATGAATGTCTTATAAACGTGCGCGCAGATGTCTCAGGTACTGCTCAGGCAAAAAAGGCGTGTCTAGCAGTCCTCCGAAGAGGTCCTACAGCAGACGAAGATCCTGTCCAAAAAATCATTTCCTGCGGAGAAACCCCAGTGCCCTTATGAACAGCATTCCTTCACGACAGCAGAAATAATAGCAGTTTTTTTCCAGTCCTACAGGCTTCACGGTACTGAGAGAGAGGACCTAATAATGTGCTATTAAATATCCCTAATATGCTGTCCGACAGTGGAGTGGCTTGAATCTTTTCCATACCGAAAACGCTACATAATCTTTTAAATACGGTAAAGATAAAATATAATATTAATATAATATTTAAATATACTCCCAGAGAAGCGGCGAGATGGCAGACCTTAGTTTCGGAAGCTCATCCATTTTCGCCCGTCATTGTACGGAGCTGAGCCTTATACACATCTTTCCATCATAGTTAGAGAAGGTCGAGAAGACATAGGCAGGAATTATTTCCAACTGTCATTGTCGATTTCTTCAAGCTGTCAACTTCCGTAGCCGGAGCAGAAGCTCTGTCATCGATTTGTTGTTCAACAGCAGAAACATTTTCTTTGATTTTTTTTTAGACAACAGAGACTGTTTTTTCGATTTCTTGAACTTTATTTTTCACTGTTTCTGCTTTCCATAGCCTCGAATTCGTTTTCCAATTACGGCAGTAATTTTGTTTTCCGTTTCCTCTTGACCGGCTTCAGTCTTTTGGCCGGCTTGCACCTCTTCTTTAAAAGACTTGATGGCCTTTTCCATTTTTTCTTGGGGATGCAGCAAAGGCTTTCACCAGCTGTCTTAGTTGTTCAACCATCGCTTTTCTCACCAGCACTCAGTATCACTTTTCACACCAAATATTATTACGTGCATACGGGTTCATAATGGATTGAATGCACACAGTGCAGTTAAGAGCTTGATTAAACTTATTTTCCCAAAGCACTTAGCAATTATTTCACTTTTCACGCAAAAGTACTTGTGCAGCCCTTCTCAGAATGACAGAGTACAATTCACTAAAAACGTGGAACATAATGGAAAGGCAACACTGTACGAAAAAAAAAACCATTTTTATTTACAGCGCACGAGACTGTGTATCGGAAATTCTAAGGATATGCTCTTTTAAATATTTTGTGATATTGCTGCTGAATTGAATTTTATGGTTTTTATGGTTTAAGTGCGAAGAACATGATATTTAATAAATAAAGGTAACACACAAAACGTTAATAAAACGCTCCATTGCGCGTAACGTCAAACTTGAAACTTTTATGACTTTATTTTTTTTTTAATATTTTTATTTTTTAATGGTAAAATTTTTCTTCGTTTAATTTCGTAAGAATTTTGAATTTTTATTAGTTTTATTGCTAAGTAATTTGCAATATATATGCCTAATACATAACAATAATATTTATATGCATCAAATTGTTTCGATGCATCCGATAGTTATAAACTAGTATTATTAGTAATAACACAAAAATAGGCATATATTAACATCAATTAGAAAGCAAGTTTATAGTGATAGTTATATGAAAAACCACTTTTATTTATATAGCTGTCTTGTTTATATATTTTTGCATTGCGACTAAGAAAATGTATTTCACAAGAGATAATTAATTATCTAACTTTCTTGGCTCAAGTGAAAAATTTAACAGTTTTTGATTTAGCTGAATCGCCTTTATTTCTCACCCAGAAGATAGTTGTTGGACGGAACTCAGACTCAATGCAAGTACACCGATAGTTGTTCAGTCTCCCAATTATCCAGGGAATTATCCGGATAATACTAACTGCACTTACATCATCAGGACGTCCTATTCCCAGCATGTGGAACTGAACATCACAGATTTTCAACTTGAGGACTGGTTTACAGAGTGCAGCACTGATCGACTAGAGGTATATTACGGTAAGACAATTTAAGTATTACTATAAAAGTCTATAATATAGTAAATTTAGTTTTCTTTCTGATGTTGATTAAAACCTTAACTATCGATATGCAATTTGAAGCAGGAAACCTAAATACCTCATGTTACTCCTTTTAATTGGCGACTGTGGATTGGAGAATCCACTCGCCAAATCCTGATGTTAACTAATTACTGTTTACCACTTTTTAGTTCAGGCGCCACGAAAGTTTTTTGAAGCAGGAGACGTGAAAAATGTGTAGTGCCCTCTAGGGGCTCGAACCTGAACCTCTCAGATACGCGTCAATTATGGGTATCTGAGGCATACGGAAATGAGGGACAAAATACCTTACATATTAAATTTCATAAATTTCCAAATTTAAGTATTGAACGACTGTGTTGTATCAAAGCAAGTAAATGCATTCTAAACATGAAGTAAATGTATTCTAAACATGAACTTCAATCACTAGGGCATGCGAAAATGAGGGACAAAATACCTCACACATTAAATTTCATAAATTTCCAAATTTAAGCATTTAACGACCGTGTTGTATCAAAGCAAGTAAATGCATTCTAAACATGAACTTCAATCACTAGGGCATGCGGAAATGAGGGACAAAATAACTTACATACAGTGGCGGCTCGTAATAAGCACTGTGGAACTGCAGCACCCGCTATTTCCACTTACTATTATTTTTAATATTTAATATAATGTGGCCTTTAGTCTTTAATTCTTTCTTTATACTTTTACGATACATAATCCTTAAGCTTAAAATGTCAAGTAGCCATTCCCCACGGTTTGTGAAAAAGATACGAAAGTCTTTGATTGGAACTGCGCGCTTCCACAGTTCCAGCGGACGTGGTGTTTGGCTGTTCTGCGCATGCTACGCACACAGAAAGCAGCACACGAGCCAAGGGTAGAGAAGAAAGAGCACTGTCGCTCTTGCAGTGCCGAAAAATTCTGGTATGTTGTTGGAAACGTTATTTCTTTTTACTCCGCGCGAGTGGAATTCCTCCACAAGGTGGAACTTCACCATACGGACCATAAACAGAGCACATGAGAATTTGCAACCTTTAGAATATTGCCTTGCTGAAATTCAGTCAACATCAAAAGCAGATCAAAGTATTTCAAAAGCAACAGGAATTTTAAAATATCTAAATGATGATAATTTCAAGTTTTGGTTAGAGATCTTTTATCAGATGCCTCATGTTGAAATAATATACGACTAAATGCAATTCAGAGAAATTAGTGTGTTTAAAGTTAACGAATATATAACAAATTTCAAAACTGCTATTTTAGAATTAAGAAACTCAAAGTACTGTGAGAATTTTTCAAAGACACTGATGGCAGAAGCTAAGGAAATATCTGGCTTTATACTATGTATTGATATAATGCACAGATGTTCTTCCGCTAAACACTTGGCAGCTGCTAATTTGGTTAACAAGAAATGCTTAGTTTTAGGAATGAACATTCTACAGAAGAAATAGTACTGACCGCTGAAGCATATTCAGTGATTGACAAAGAAAAGCTTGAAACTGAACTAAAAGTATTCTATTGTAGGTGTGTAATCCATGAATACTGAAAATTAATTGAGCTACTGAAATTTATCTTCGAAAATAATCTAGATGATGTTCTTAGTGAAATTACGAAACTGATAAAAATTCTCCTGAGAGTTCCCATGACTACATCAGAGGCAGAACGCTGCTTTTCAACATTGAAAAGAATGAAACCTTTTCTAAGAAGCACTAGGAATTCGGAAAGACTAAATGTGCTTGCATTGCTTTCAATAAAGAAAAATTTCCTAAGTTGTCATCCAGAGGTCAAGGAGAAAATTATTGATCTTTTCGCGCAAATTAAAACAAGAAGAATGGATTTCATTTTTAAATGAATAGACAAAGAATGAACTGTAACAATTTTGGTTAAAGTAATTAAGAAATGTTTCATTTTTTTTCTTGTAAGATTTCATGAAGTTTCAAAATAATTTTTCTTTTTACACATGTTTGTTCCTTTTACACAATTTTAAAACAAAACCCCCGCTAACATCACCCCTACTAATTTTAGCCACGAGCCGCCACTGCGTTACACATTAAATTTCACAAATTTCCAAATTTAAGTATTCAACGACCGTGTTGTATCCAAGCAAGTAAATGTATTATAAACATGAACTTCAATCATGAGAGCATGCGAAAATGAAGGACAAAATACCTTACAAATTAAATTTCATATATTTACAAATTTAAGTATTTTAATGACCGAGTTGTATCAAAGTAAGTAACTGTCTTCTAAACATACGGATAGAACATGAAATAAAAAAAAAACCTACTTAATATGCTTGACATAAGTTATTGTCAAGTCTGATCTCGGCATATTGCTTCAGCAAGTGTTGTCCTTTGGGATGTCGGCCCATTTGGAAGGCCTCCGATAAGAGACTTTACTCATGCTATGGTCTGTTTACGCAGCTGAATCTAAGTCTCCTCTCCTAGAGTGTAGTCGAAGTTTCGTTAATTGGCCTTATAATTAAGCTCAATTATTAATAATTAAGTATTATTAATAATATTTCCCTTTAGCCGACATTACCCTTTAACGGCCATTCCATGTTAACGGATAATACCTCAATATCCGAACTCCCAAAAGTTGGAGAAAAATGCAGTCTCTTTTCAAATAAATTTGTCCTTAACGATGGAGAAAAGTTCATTATTTTTTCCCGTGAGTGCTCGCTAACTGAGTGTTCGATTGCATCCTTTTCCAGCATTTATTAAGGCATCACCTATAGCATTATTTACGCAAGTTAATACAAACTTGATCAGCATTTACTGCCGCCCAGACGGCACAAGTGAATCTAACTGCAGTCAAGAATTGCTCGGATTTAAATCTCGGAGAAGGCATGAATGTATGGTGTAAATGTATCGTTTCTTTGCGGCATGGGGACACTAAATATACGGCGAGCCCAAAGTCTTGTTTGCCACTCTAAGTGAGCATGTGGTTTCATTTTGAGGGCATTGGAGAACTCTAATTATATGGCGACCGTGTGGTTTGGTGGCAGGAAAGAGGTGTGGGAGACCCTTGGACCAATCCCCCCGGGGTGCTGTTCCTCAAAATTGAAGCGGAAGTAGAAGTCTAACCTCTTTGAGACTCTGGCAACCATTCTTTGACGAAATATGGACTCGACAACAAACACCAATATTTATTTTCTTGCAAATCTTTCGATTTCCAATGTAACCTTAAAAATACGTTTTCTTGCACATTAAAAGATATTTTAGATTAAGGCAACCTTTCTAACTTTTGCGGCGCCTGCCTATCTGATGAAACCGATGAAAAATAATGATCAGGAGACTAAGATTAATGCCACGGGCTTATTTGCCATTTGATAGACTATGAACCCTGAGGAGACAAAAGGCCTTTAGTACTACGCGCCAGTTTGAACTAACGATCTGTCGAACAGTTTTGATTGCAATTTTGACTTGAAGTACTTCGTTTTTTGTAATCCTTCAAAGATCATCAGTCATCAAATAGGTACGAAAGTCATAGAAATGATTGATAAGGCTTTTTTTCAAACCATTTCAAGTTTTGACCAATAGGATTGGACAATTGGCCACAAATGCTTATCTTTCTTTTCTAACACCTAATTAAAGAAGACACCTTTGATAGCAATAGATTTTATGCATTCTTCACGTAATTTTAACCCGCACTCTCAAATTTGTGCTTTGGAATGACATGGACTTTTGTAACTCACCTTGTTGACGTGTAAGGTTTTTCTAAGTTTTAACAGTTAATGTTTAGTTAAAGACACTTTCTTGTCCTTTCTTAATTTTAACTTACAATTTCCTGTTAGAACGTGTTTTCAGAATCGGCCGTATTTCAGGCCCTTAATAGCTTCGCCATTTAGTTTGCATTAAGGGGCCAACTCTTGTAGACTCTTTATAGCTTCGGCTATATCTTTTTAGTGAACTTTAGTTAAGCTTTATTTCCTAGTAATCAAGCCCAAGTGGGGCTTTGTTGTAAACTCCGAGAAGGAGTCAACTGTTAAATTTATTTTGAATGATAAAGGATAATTAACTCTTCTTACTTTTACGTTTCTGAACTAAGCGATTATTAGCTTACCAGTTCTTAAGGTTCCACACATTCAACTGTAAATTCTAGGTTGGAACATTACAGACTACTTCACTAACTTTGTGTGCCAAAATGTCCCCGCCCTCCATGACCTGTCTACTGAATGTACGCTTGCAATGCACTACGTTTTCATTGTGCCACTTATTTATTTTAATACATATTTACTAAACTTATGAATTCTTGCATCCTCTGTTTCCGAATCTGCTGCTATAGTACAGCTAATTTGCCCTTGCATGGCCATGTATCTCGCCTAAATTATTAAATTCTTTAATAATCGCAGGCTAGTGGAGGACGAGGAGCTTCTTACCTCTGGTAGACATCAGGTGCCCCCGTCCTCCATCGCCTGTCACCTGTCATCTGCCAGAATTTACCATTCACGTATAAGGTATTTCTCCCACTTTCCTAGCGTGCCTTCGTGGTGTAGTGGTTCTGCACGCTGGGCCGGTATATTCCAGAGGTCCATGGTTCGATTCCCGGCGAAGGTGGTTTCTATATTTCTCTTTCCTGCTTCCAAAAATATACCTAATGTCTCTACAGTGGCGCCCGAACTAAAAGGGTGTTGGATGATCCTCACCCAGGATTTGGCGATTGGGTAAAAACCCCAGTCGCCCTTTAAAAGGGGGAGCATTTAAAGTAATTCTCCCGCTTTTTTGGCATGCCTTCGTGGTGTGGTGGTCTGTACGCTCAGTGCGTAACTTTCCTGCTTCCAAAAAAATCCTAATTGTTCTACAGATGTATAAATTTAATGAAATAAAAAACTGCATTTCAAGTCTCAAGTCTTAAAATGTGAAATGGGTGTTCGAAGTTGAACCTTTCAGTAAACTATAATTTTTTTTTTTATTTTTATTGATTCTATTGTAATTATCTGGTCTTCATTTTGTCACAGGCACGATAATAAAAATATCAAAATTTTAATATCAATGAAATTTACTTTTCCAGCACTGAACCCCAATGTAGATTCCTGGCACCTGAACGCGAGTCTTTGTGGTAGAGGTGTGTCTCCGTACATCGTCAGTCCAACAAATTTGATGAAGCTGCAGTTCATTACAGACAGTCATACTAATTTCAGAGGTTTCAGCGCAACCGCCATATCAAGTAATACCTTACAATTTTCAATTTAAATTTATTTATTGTATTTTTACGCGTTAAAATATTTCTTCGTTTCTGTAATAAATGTTCTCGTTTGGATTACGTCAGTTGAAAACTGTTTAAAGAGTCAACTTCCAGTAAGAATTCATTAACAGCAAAAACGAAAAATCCGTATATTCTAAGCCTCCTTTTCCCAGTCGAACATTTGACAAAAATTTGCTTCTTAATGTAATAAAAAGCAAGTGCATACATGCTGTAAAAGTGTGACATATATTAAATACCATAATATAGTACATAGTTAGGAATCAGTAAACAGTCTCTCTAATGACAACTCGGTGCTACTTTGGTAGACGGTTGCACGGATTTTGGCGATTTTTTGGTGATTTTTGTTTTTGGCGAGCGATACGACTTATGGTAAACCCATTGCTGGACAAGTTATTTATGGTAACCGATACTTTGTTGTCATTTTATTTAAAAAATAATGCCTTTTATTATGCATATATTCCGTGTTTTAAATATTATGACTTCTAAATAATAAGAATGAATTTAATTTTGCATTTTTATTTGAAATAAAAATTTTATTTTTATTATTTTATGATATTTTATGTTGTGGATTGATGTAAAATGAATGACGTCACATTATTTTAAAGTAATTGATTTTAATATCTATAAATTTAATCTAATGTTTTAAACATTTATGGCTGTTAAATATTAAAATATAATTTAATTTTGCATTTTTAAATATGATTTTATTATGAATGATTATTTAAATAATTTTAATTCTATGCGTGATGTAATCAGCTCCCTGATTGATTACTGAATATTTGTGCATTACCGCGCCATTTTAAAATTTTATTGTTCATCTCTTCGAATTCCTCAGATTTCAAATGGAATGGATATGTCCGTTTCGAAGATGAATGTTGTTATTGGTAATTACCAAGAATTATTGGTATCGGAATAAAAAGGGAGACCTTATTTTGGCCAACCTGGCTTTCTTAATCAAAGATTTATTCATAAATTGTTAATAGAGTCAGAGGAAATTTATTTTAAATTTTTGGAGAAAACCTCGCTAATTGCTTCTTCAATGAAGTGCGAGAGATGTGGATCACAGATGAAGATCGTTTTTTTTTTCTGCTACTTATCAATATACGACAGGTAAAATACTTTAAAAAATGTAAATACATATTTTTCTTTTACTTTATAATTGTATACTTCAATTTTTATTAAAAAATTAATACACTGTTTAAAAAAATTCTGAGATATTTATTGCCACACATGTTTTAATGTTAAATAATTATATCCTATAAAACTTATTTTAAAGGATTTGGATTTAAGTAATTGAAAAATTTTAATTCTTTTAAACGTTGGTAGGATGTTTTTAATTCAATATTCAATTTAAATAATATTTTATTCCAATTAAATGTTGGCGCAATGATTTTATAGCGGTTGTTTTTAATTAATTATATGAAAGTAATAATTTAACCTTACTTTAGCATTTTATACTCTTAGTAAATGTATTTATTTACATTTGCCAGCCATCTCAAAAAACAACGTTTTCAACAAAAAATTAATCCATTATTTTTAATGATATTTATTTTTTTAAAGTTTCGAATACTTTACTATGCATGAAATACGTAAAAACAGCATTTTTCAAGATGGCTGACGACAGTAAAAACAGCGCCAACAATTACGCAAACGTAAATCGCCAAAAATCCGTGCAACCGTCTACCAAAGTAGCACCGACAACTCAAATGGTATGTTTTAAGCTGGCTATTTTAAACAACAGTTCTTAATAGCTGGAGGGAAACGCTATATACTACCGCTAATTTTCCTGCGAATTATTGTAATTTATTTTCTCTTCCACGGAGAAGATAATAACTATAAGTTAATAGTTTTTAAGTGGTTATTTTTAAGTTTCTAAGTTTAATTTTTAAACATGCTTTACAGTCTATTCTCGTTTCCCACCTACTATTCCCTGCCAGGATATATTTTAGTATCGAGTTACATGAAAATGAGATGGAAAGAGTATTTAAAGGAAGGTTTCGCTTTCTTCAGGAACAGATCTCAGGAGTCCTTAGTGGCGCGTTTTTACCGCCAGGGCTGCTTCGTTGTTCAGAACCAACTATGCTCGACCGTACTAAACATGCTTGCTGATATCCGCCAGTTAATTAGTTAAGGGCAAACTACGTTAGCTAATTCTGTACGGCTCCGGCTAAGTTCAGTTTAGTTTAACATTAGATTAGTTTCTCATCTTCTTATCTTGACTTAAAAGCCAGGTGAAGGCTTTTCTGTAAACCAGAGAAAAGGGCCACCTGTATTCTTAGTTTGATATAACAAAGAGTGAGTTTAACCCTTCTTTACGACTTTGTCGCTTACACACTTCAACTCAATTGCTGCGTACTTCGACTAGCTTTCTACGAAGTCCAGTTTCTTCAGTAGTTAGAAACATTACACGTTCTGCTATCTTCCAAAGCAATATAAGTTCAGTATACTGAAAAACTGAAACTAAAATAAACTACTAATTTAATGCATTGTATATAAAGTTGCTAGCTACGACCAAAGCAAAATTTATGAGTTCTATGAACACCTGAAAAGAAAGTGCATAAAAACATTTCATTATGAATGGAGTGAGTTCATTCTTTCCAAGCAACAACCAATTCGTAAATACTTTTTGGTTGCCAAATCAGGAAACAAAATCTTTGAACACTTCAGATTAATAAGTATGATATCATGATTTAAATTTTTTGTAATATAACAACTTTTTCGCTGTATCAATAAAAGAATTAACGTAGTAATAACAGACTGTGTCAATTATCTAAACCTGAAACAAAAAAAAAGTTTCCAACAGCAGCTATTTATTTAAAACGCTGACATTAATGAAACCTTTTTCGACAGGCAGTGATGTCACGTGAAATTACGTGCGTTCTTCAACGTTAGAACATGCCCTTATGTGTAATGTATTTAATGTTTGGCAATGCTTTTTTTTTTTTTTTTTTTTTTTTTTTTTTTTTTTTTTTTTTTTGCATATATTGTAAACTTCCAAATTTTTCATTAACAAACTGTGCGATTTTAAAGCGACCGGTGGCAACTCTTTTCGAAATAAAGCAGATTTTTATTTCCAACGTGTGAGACTGTTGCCACTCTGAAAAATGAGGGCAAGAGTTATCATTTTCAGAGCTAAAGATGAGAATGATCGAAATGGCTTTCCACGAATTTTTGAAATCCGGAATAATATATTAAATGTTTGGCAATGCTAGTTTCTTTTCATATTTTGTAAAACTTGCAAATTATTATTAACATAGTGTACGATTTTAAAGCGAGCAGTGGCAACACTTTTCGAAATGAAGCAGATTTTAGTCTCCATTGTGCGAATCTGTTGCCAATAGGAAAAATGAAAGCGAAAATTAGCGTTTTTAGAGTTTTTAATTAAATATTTCGGCTGATTAAAGTCGTACGAAGATGATTAATTGTCGAAAGGGCTTCCTTACAAATTTTAGCAATTGGAAGGGAGGGATACCTGTCTTGAAACTGAACTCCTTGCCATTCTGGAGAAGATAGTGCCACAAACAAACAAACAGACAGACAGAAGGGCAAAGATTTTAATTGTATAGTACGTTGTACATCACCTGTTTTTACAAGACAGCACTTATCCTTTTAATACTGCCATTATCAATGAATTTCTCTTTTTGTATATAGTGGCCCATAAATAAATCTGTAAAACAACAAATATTTTCCCCTTTTTTTTTTTTTTTTTTTTTAATTTTCCTTTTAATTTGTTAAGTAGATTTTTCTAATGTTATGTTCCGCTGTCTACTTCTATATATTTTAATACTTCTTTTCCGTCTAGACTAAATGTTAGCTTTTTTTTTTTTTTTTTTTTTTTTTTTTTTTTTTTTCCCGGAGAGTGTTTTTTTTTTTTTTTTTTTTTTCCAATATGTGTTCTTTAATTTCATATGATAGAAACATTCTTTTTTCTATATGCGTGCTCTCTCTAACTTTTTACTTTTCTCTTTATTTCAAATGTGGACTTTCATTGTTCATTTGCCTTCTTTATGTTGCTTTCATTTCATAGATGACAGCACTGAATTTTTGCATTTTTTTAATTTCTGTCTTACATTTTATTTTCGATTTTACACCAGATATATATTTATTCTTAAGTGATAACCCCAAATGTGGTTTACGCATTTTGTTAAAATTATTTGAAAATGTGAACGATGATATTTTTTCACTCGTGTACAATTAAAAAGAGAAAAAGAAAAAAGGTTGCTACAAAAGAGCTCGCGAAATGAATTGTTCTGAAATGCACCAAGATAAATTTTTAAATTTCTCCATAAATTTCTCACCAAAAATTACAAAATTTAATATGTGGGCATAATTTGAATCGTAGAATCGAAAAATGGAAAAAGTGGTATGTTATTTCAGAAAAAGTCTAAGTTTATGTCAAAGTACCTATATTAGAACAATGTTATAGAGAAATCTAATATATATCCTAAGTCGCGCTTTCAAGACATGGAAGATGCAAGTTAAATTTCGACAATTTCCAGTAAAACAACAGGAGATATAGAGCTCTCCCTTTTTTTAGTCCAAAGCGGCTTTGTCCCTGAGGGACTAATGTTTTCGTTTTGGCATTTTGCGTCGAAATCTTTAAAAGGCTGCATCACTTTTCAAACTGTTGCCGCTGATATTATCGCCTGGTATTATATTTGAAAAAATTAAGTAATGAAGAATCTACATAAATGTATGTATATTTCTCGCATTGTGATAAAAACAACGGTACCTAGAACCATCCAATTTTGAATGACGTAATCCTACTGCGAATATGGGTATCTGGAAGCCCTAATTTAAAATTTGGAATTTCTTTTATTATCGATTTCCTATATTGTAAAACTTTAACGAATTTCGGATTAACAAACTCAAGGATTTCAAAGCGAGGAATGGCAAAGTTGTACAGAAAAAATATTTTTATCTCCAGAGCATGAGACTGTGTATCGGAAATTCTAAAAATATGCCGAGTTTAAAACTATTTTGCGATATTGCTCTTGAACTGAATGTTATGGTTTAAGTGCGAAGAATATGATATTTATAAAATATAGGCAACAGACAAAATGTTAAAAAAACGCCCCTTTGAACGTAATTTAAAATCTGAAACCTTTCAGATTTTTATGTTTTTTAGTCCATAGGGGGTTTGTCCCTGAAGGACTACTGTTTTCGTTTTGCGATTTTGCGTCGATTCACTACAAACGGCAAAGCACTTTTCAAACTGTTGCTACAAAGTATTATCGCCCTGTGTTATATTTAAAGAAATTAAATAATGAAAAATCTGCATAAATGTATGTGTATTTCTCGCATTGTTATTGAACAACGGTACATAGAGTCATCGAATTTTGAATGGCGTAATCGTCCTACGAATATGGGCATGTGGAAGACTAAATTTAAAATTTGGAATTTGTTTTATTGTGGACTTCATATTTTGTAAAACTCTAACGAAGTTTTGAGTAACAAACTCAACGATTTCAAAGCGAGCAATGGGAACGTTGTAAAGAAAAAACATTTTTATCTCCAACGCGTGAGTCTCTGTATCGGAAATTCTAAAGATATGCTCATTTTAAAACTATTTTGCGATATTGCTGTTGAACTGAATTTTCTCGTTTAAGGGGGCTCATACACCTTAAAACCCGTAAGATGCTCGAATAGGTGACTGTTGCAAGAATTGGGATAACTTATTTATTTTAAAAGCAATTACTACCAACTTTTTACAGCTGACTACATAATATAGCTGCTTTCTGAAATAGGAATCAGAAAGTTTGTATTGCCACAAACATTTTTATAATTTAATCCGCTTTGTGACAACATTTTTCGTCATGTTTCCAACTTGCGCGCACAGTTTAAAACATTCTGTTTCATAATTTAATTCCATATTTAATATATAGCTTTTATAACATTTGGAAACTACTGTGAACCTAAAAATTGCATGTTAAATTTTTATTTTATTTTTGAGTTGAGTTTATAAAATGTATTTTATTAACAAGCTTTGTGATGTTTTTATCCATAAAATTTTTCAGTATTAAAATATTCACCAAATTCTTGGTTCAGTTAGAAAATAGTGCCCATATGAAGAATTCCATCCAATTTCAAGTATGTACCATTAACCATTTTTAAAATATCATGCGCGCAAGGTGGAAACATGGCGAAATATTTTGTCACAAAGCGGATTAAATTACAAAAATATTTGTGGCAACACAAACTTTCTGGTTACTAGTTTCCAAAGCAGCTATATTGTGTAGTCAGCTGTAAAACGTTGGAAGTAATTGCTTTTAAAATAAGTAAAATATCCCAATTCTTGCAACAGTCACATTTTCGAAGATCATGAGGGGTTTAAGGTGTATGTGTCCCCTTAAGTGCGAAGAACGTGATATTTAAAAAATAAAGGTAACACACAAAATGTTAAAAAAAAAAAAACGCGCCTTTGTACGTAATTTAAAATCTGAAACCTTTCAGTTTTTGTGTGTGTGTGTGTGTGCAAGGTGTACACTAATTCAATTTTTAGAAGTTGTGGGCATTTCTGAAATATTTTGAAAACCTTAAAAGAGTATAACACTATCCTTTCTTAATACAGTGACATCATTTTTATAAAAGCTATTAAATTTTACTCTGCTTCCTAAGCTTCATGAATTCTCCGTTTTCTGTTTTACTTATCCAGATTCAATTGAACATTGTAACAGAACTAACTGATGAAGACATGTTGTAAAATAAAGTAACAATAATGTTGAAAAAAATTTTTTGTTTCCAAACACTTTTTTAAAATTTAGATTGTAAAAGTAATATGCAAATATTGTTTATTTTTTAATGCTATATATTTGTTTTTAAGAATGCGGAGGTCGATTGACAGATTCACACGGAGTGATAATGAGTGAATATATTAATCATCACATTCCCGATATTAATTATGGGTTTCCAACTGTGATCTGTGAATGGTACATACAAGTGAAACCAGGAAGAACAATCCAACTGTCTTTTAGCCGATTCCACATATTTTCAGATCACACCTGTGGCACTAATTACATATTGGTAAGTTAAATAAATTGATAATCCTTACAATACTTCTTTTTTTTTTCAGCTAGTATGACGTATGTTACATTAAGGGTTATGTATTATAACTTACCTGTAATTTACATGTAACTTAACATGGTGTAGCTTACATAATGTAACTGAATATGATATAACGTACATGTAAATAAATCGATAATCTTTCCAATACTTTTTTCAGCTAGTTTAATGTGTGTTACATTAAGAGTTATGTTATGTAACTTACGTGATATAATTTAGCACGATGTTACTTACATGCAACCTAACATGATGTAACTTACATGCAATTTAACATGATGTAACTTAACACGGCGCAACTTACATGATGTAACTTAACAAGGCGCAACTTACATGATGTAACTTAATGTAAATAAATCGATAACCCTTACAATATTTCTTTTTTTCAGGTAGAGTAATGTATGTTGAGGCCCAATGGCGCACTGACTAGCGCATCCTGCAGCAGCACCACAGGTTCGGGGTTCGATCCCCGGCTGGGCAAGGTCGACTCAGCTTTCCATCTCTTGATTTTCACCCCTTGGGTCGATAAAATGTGTACCAAGTTCGCTTTAGGACTAAACACTGGGGGTCCTGCGACAAGCTGGCCACTTGTTCACTGCATATGCTTACGCATCCCGGGGCCCATGGTCAAGAGAGCAGATTTTGGGACACTGCTGTCCTTGACCCACTAGGGTTGCTTGCCCTCTAGGGCTATTGCGCCACTGAGTTTAATTTAGTTTAGTAATATATGTTAAAATAAGAGTTATGAAACAAAACTTACATGATGCAAACTAACTTGATGTAACTTAACATGATGTAACTTACATAATGTTCAAATAAACATGATGTAACTTACAGAAAACTTAATATAGTGTAACTTACACGATGTAACTGGATATGATGTAACGTGCATGTAACTTACCTGCAACTTACATATAACTTACATTACCTAACTTAACATGATGAAACTTATGTAATGAAACTGATCATCATGTAACTTACATGTGACTTAACGTAATGTCATGTACACTGTGCAGAAAAAAAAAAAAAAAAAAGGAGAGAGAGAGAGTTCTATTTATTCCATTCTACTGGGCAGATCGAGGAAATTCAACTTGCGTTTTTCATGTCTCGAAAGCGCGACATAGGATATGTATTGCATTTATTCTAATATAGTTCTAATTGTTCTAACACAGGTATTTTGACACAAAGTCGGACTTTTTCTGAAGTAACATACCAATTTTTTTCCATATCTCTATTCTACTACTCAAGTTACGAAAAAATACCGAATTTTTAAAAAATCGCACGAGTAGATTTTAAAATTTATCTCCCAAAGTTTTAGCTCCTCAGTGTTAATCGAGTTTGTTATATACATTAATCTCTCTTTTTTTATTAAACTCATTTAATTCTTCCTTTCATATTCCGAAATTCAGGTTCATTCCAAAAAAAAATTCAACAATTTTTTTGATTGATTTATAAAATTTGTATTTTTAAGTAATTTTTATAAATTTTTCAAAAACAATTTGAATCATAATCTATAAAATTTTTACCATCATCTTAAAGTAGATGTATTTCTAAGCATACCTGCAAAAAATTACTGTTTTTTATTCAAAATTTCCGAAGACATACTGGAATTTATATATTGGCGCGTTTGAAATTTGGCACATTTGTTGAAAGCGATAAAACATCACATGTGGTTTAGACACTTTGCTAAAATTATTTGAACGGTGTGACTTTTTTTTCCGTTCGTGCACAATGTAAAAAGGTAGGAACGAGATGCCTTTTTTCCGCTCTGGCATAAATAATGGAGGGGAAAGGAAAATTGGTTGCCATATTTTAAGAATTTCGCTAAGCGAATTATTCTTGGCGCAAACTGAAAAAATTGCAGCAAGATAAATTTTTGAATTTCTCCTTAAACTTCACACCAAATTTTACAAATTTTAAAATCTAGGCATATTTTGAGTCGGAGAATCGAAATAAGGAAAACAATTGGTTTGTTATTTCAGAAAAAGTTCGATTTTGTGTCCAAATACCTATGTTAGAACAATGCTATATGTAAATCTAATATATATCCTAAGTCGCGCTTTCGAGACATGAAAAACGCAAGTTGAATTTCGTCAATCGGTCCAGTAGAACGGGAGATATAGAGCTGTCCCATTTTTTTTTCGCGTAGTGTATATGTAGCTTACATGATGTAACTTAACATAAGGTAACTTACATGTGACTTAACAAGATGTAACTTACACATAACTTAGTTGATGATATTACCTGATTTCATCATTTCTAAAATAATTCATTAAGATATACTTCTTTTCCCGCTTGACTGAGAAAATGGTCAATGGAGATAGCTCGGACACCTCATGGCCTATCATTGTAAGAATTCCAGATGCATTCACGCCTGTAATGTCATTTCAGAATGAAGGTTAAAAAGAATGCATTTAAAATCCTTTTTTATGAATTCATGTCGCTTAATAGTACACCTCGCACAAAAAAAAAAAAAAAAAAAAAAAAAAAAAAAAAAAAATTCTGTATCTTCCGTTCTCCTGCGCCGATTGACGAAATTTAACTAGCATTTTTCATATCTCGAAAGAGCTACTTAAGATATATATATATACTAGATTTATGCATAAATGATATCCCGATTTTTTGCCATTTTAATTCTGTGACTCAAATTATGCCAAAGTGCTAAGTTTTTGGAAAACTCAAATGAGTAGCTTTTAAAAAATTAACTTTCAAAATTTTAGCTCCTCCAATGTTACTTGATTTTGATATATATTTACCAATATATCTCTTTTTATTACAATTACTTGATTCCTTCTTTCACAGGCCCACCAGCGGCCGAGCGGCAAAGTCGCTGAACGCTGGTAGTTCGGTACGAGGTTCAAATTTCGCAAACGGGCGTTTTCTTGGCTTTCCTTTTGTGTAACTTGTGTACCAGGCAGTTTCCCTTAGAAAGACTTCCATGAAGTTACCCCTCCCCTTAGACAGATAGCCTTCGAGGCTTTGCTGTAATTAAATAAATAAATAAAAGCCCTTTTTTTCACAATTCGAAATTCATGTTCAATCCGAATAAAATTCGCAGCTATTTTCTAATTTATTTTTTAAATTTTATTTTTCAGTAATTTTCATAAATTTTTCGACAACATTTTTGAATTACAACCTATCAAATTCTCACCTTCATCTTAACGTATTTGTATTTCTAGGCATACCTGCAAAAATTTCAGAGTATTTTACTCAAAATTTCCAAAGATATATTTGAATTTATATACTAGTGCATTTTTAAATTTGGCATAATTTTTATAAGCGATAATAACGTGATATATGCTTTAAGCGTTTCGTTAAAATTATTTAAAAATATGAACGATGCACCTTTTTTTCCGTTCGTGCGCAGTGAGAAAAGGGAAAGAAAAATAGGTTGCTATAAATTAAGAATTTTGCCAAGTGAACTATTCTTGGCGTACATTTAAAAACGTACGCCAAGATGAATTTTTTATTTTCTCAGTATATTTCTCACCAAATTTTACGAAATTTAATATTTAGGCATAATTTGTGTCATCGTAAGTCGCGCTTTCGAGATATGAAAACGCAAGCAGAATTTCGTCAATCGGCCCAGTAGAACGGGAGAACTGTCCCATTTTTTGTTTTTGCGCAATGTATATGTTTCATTCCTTTCTAATGTATTTTTTAGCATTTGCTTGTTTTTATTAAAACGTGCGAGTTTGATCCTTATGAACAGTAAAATATCTTCAGTCCCGAGAATCGTAGCATATACAATGGAGCAAACATCTGTCTGTTTTCATAAGGTGTCATAAGGAAATTTCTCTTATAGAATGTCTTCCAATTTCCTCTTATAGAAAATGTTTGCTACTAGCATCTGCTTCTAACATCCAATGTTACGAAATGTACAGGCGCGGTAAGATGGCTTCCCCGCAAAGCAGTTTTAGGGTTGCCATAAATGGCAAAGAAGGCATGGTTGCCACATTTGGCGAGAAATCGCCCATTTAACGACATTTGTCTACAAAATTGGTGATATTTCATGGACGGATGGAGAACCTTCTGGAACGAATTCTTACCGGTTTAGCCCAGAATGTTCTCGAACACAAGCCGAAAACTATGACTACTGGTCCGCAGTCAGTTAGTGTGTGTGCCTCGTCGAGAGGGCGAGGGAGAGTGCCTCGCATAGACTGCGAGTTAGTTAGTATCGAGTTGGTGTCTCGTCTAGCGAGTCAATTCCTGCGGAGTCGATCGAGTGGGTCGTCGAGTGCACCGAAGGAGTCTCTTAGTGAATCGCGGCTAGTACATCGTCGAGAGAGCGTGCGGAGCTCCGGGAACGACTGAACCGAAGAGTCGGGAGCTGTGCTCTGTGTGTCGTCGAGTGCATCGCGAGTGTAGCGTGGAGAGTCTCGAGAATAAGTGGAGTTCCTAGAACGATTGAGCAGAGTCGGGAGCTGTACTCTGGTGCTTTGTTGTCTAAAGTAAAGTTGTCTCCACCATTAGAGCCTGACAACCTGGAGGCTGTGTCGCTGAGTTCCAGCGTGTTTATAGTAGATCTTCGACGACTGTAAAAACGTGTTTTGGAGCTGTCCTGACAATACTGGCCAATAAAGTGTGTTTCGATACTTCGTCGTCAAGTGTCGTCCTTATTCACTCCAGATCCTCACGAACCCCGTAACAACTAGTGTCAGAAAAGAAAAACGCAACAACTACAGCAAAATATCTTCACTCCCGAGAATCCTAGCATATTACACTGGAGTAAACATCTGTCTAATTTCTCTTTATAGAATGTCTTAATTTCCTCTTATAGAAAATGCTTGCTGCTAACATCCGCATTTATACAATTTACAGATCCGTAACGGCGGCTCTAGGGCATCACCTGTACTCGGACATGGCAGATACTGCGGTTTGACTATTCCAAATCTGCCAGAGACAACTTCAAACGAAGCCTATGTGAAAGTGGTAATTACCGCACCTCTTCTAAGCTTACCAGTAAGTATTTAATATTTGACATTTTCCATTAGCACATACATTCTTTAATTAAATGAATGGAAAATGAAGATGCAAGGATTAGTTAAAATTTGTAATGACTAATGTAAATAATTAAAATTTCAATAAGTTTCGCAATCGGTGAAATGCGTAAGATATGCAAAATGTCATACAAAGATGAAATTTAATGTGCCACACTAAATTTTAAATTTCATTTGTTTGAATACGAATATTTACTAACAGAAAAACATAGATTCTGTTTTTTTTTTTTTTTTTTTTTTTTTTTTACTTCCTTGTACGAAGTAAAAAGGAAGTATTGTAATAGCGAAAAGTTTCCGGCAGCATATTTCAACGAAAATATCCATTTTGCCGCTTTCGAATGCAATTTAACGATGTATTTGCGTGATATCTGTACGTAAGGACAGAATAAAAGACCCTTTTCCTCCAAAGAAATTATAAAATTGCTTTAAAATGAGTTATGAAGAGAATTTTTCGTGGCGTCTGTACGAAAGTATCTCGCATAACTCAAAAACGAGCAGCCTCAGAACGTTGAAACTTTGTATATAGGACTACTATAACAGGTACAGGGTGATTAGCGAATAAGCCCTGATTTCAATATTAAATATCTCTGCAACAAAAATCGATAGAATTATGCGGTATACTGTACATTTATTAGCAAAACTGTAAAAATGGTGTACAGAAATTTAGAAAATTTAGTTACGAAAATCGTTAACAGATGGCGCTCTGCACTAAAAACTCTTTCTCTGAAAGGAAGCAAAAAAAAAAAATTACTTAAAAAATAAAGTAAAGCAGCCTTTGCAATCAAAATATAACTTTTTCAAAATGGTCACCGTTCGAAATAATGAGGTGGTGTAAACGAACAATGAAATTTGACATCACGTCTTGCAATGTCTGGACGGAAATGGAATCACATGCAACACCAATCAACGATTGAAGCTCATCTAGAGTAGCAGGATTATTTCGATAGACAGCGTCTCTCAATGCGCCCCACAAAAAGAAGTCACAAGGACTCAGATCGGGAGAATATGGAGGCGAAGCTATTCCTGTGTCAGTAAAGTGAGGATAATCTAACGCAATTACTCTATTCCCAAAGTATTCATAAAGAAAGTGAAAAACTTTTTTGTTCGATGTGGTCGAGCCCCATCTTGCAGGAACCAGTCGATACCTGGTCGAACCTCCAACGTTAGTTGAGTGCTGACAAATTGCTCCAAAATTGTAACGTAACGTTCAGTAGTTATCGTTTCTCGTACGAAAAAGAGTCCGATAATGCCTCTGGCGCATACCGCAGCCCATGCCATAACTTTAGGCGAATGCAGTGCTTTTTCTTCACACAAATGAGGATTTTCGGTACCCTAAAATCTCCAGTTTTGTTTATTAACGATTCCATTCAAATGAAAATGTGCCTCCTCTGTGAACCAGATGCAGCTCACATCAAATCTGCCGTTGTCGATCATTGTTAGAATCTGATTCATAAAGTCAACCCTTTGTTGCACAGCTTTCATGGGTATGGCCTGATGACTTTGGATTTTGTATGGAATATTTTTAAATATTTTTTGTGTGCTCGTGTACCTCAAATCGGTCTCTGATGCAATACGTCATATGCTTTTTCTAGGATTTAGCTGAACAAATCCAGAAACTTTGGCTGCATTTTCAGGGGTGACTATAGTTTGCTTAGGCCCAACATATCCCTTTCGATCATCAGGCACGCTGCCAGTCCATTCGAATTTCGCGAACAGCATGCGAATGGTTTTCGCATCGGGTCCAACTGGAACATTGAATCGGTTTCGAAAACTGCGACGTGTTGCCGTATGACTGTGTTCTAATTGGTGAAATTTCAAAACCAAAATACACGTTGTTTAATGGAATACATTATTTCACTTTCTACGCTAGCCTCTTTTCACTAGCCAACAGTTGTACTGATCACTAATCCGACTTCGAAGTACATATTAAAAGCTATTGATAGGTCATTGCGATTAGAGCGCCATCTGTTAATGAATTTCATAACTAAATTTTATAAACTTTTGTACACCATTTTTACAGTTTTGCTAATAAACGTACAGTTTACCGCATAATTCTATCGATCTTTGTTGTAGAGATATTTAATATTGAAATCAGGGCTTATTCGCTGATCACCCTGTAGATGTGCACCTCATATTTTGGTTGCAATAAGCCGGGCCAAACGTATATAAATATACTCTGTTACACGATCTCAGCTTCTTTACTCTTATATGTTTGTAAATTGTACATTTTTTTCTTTAAAAATGATTGAATTATGCTGTTCTTATCTTCCGGTTAAGGTTTTTATTCCTTTAGTAAATCTGTATGCAATATTTTTAGAATTATCAACAATTTAAAGTTTATTAAGTGCTGCTAAGCCTAATAATTTTTCTGATGGCGGCCGTTGCTTGTTTACATTTGAAACAGCAGAGTATTGGATTTGTTTCCAATCTAGAAAAACGTAGCTTCGGCAACAACAAAGATAACGCCTTTCATTTATTATTGCGAATTAAATCATGCTTAATCCTTTCCGGAATTTTTTCGAGGAAATATGTGTTTAAGATTTACTTCGTAATTTTTAATACACATATTTTGGGTCTTTATGTATTTTTGCCTTGTCGCGAAGTGAGAACTCAATTAATTGAATGAGAAATACTCAATCGTCTGTAAAAAGTGTTTCTTTTTTGTTTTGTTTGCTTAATTTCTTTTATACCTCGTTCTAGCTTTATTATAGTATTTGAATACAACATGTGGCAACGATTAGATAATACTTTAAATGATATAAATTTTGTGCTTCCTGAGTTATAATATGAACGTAATATAAATACTGTTAAGTGAACCTAGACCTAGAGTGTCGCTATTGTGAACAAATAGAGTGCATTTTAAAGAATGCATTTATTCTATTGTGGTTTATGCGCTGTCGGCGAAGTAGGTTTAATTCAATCCAATAAGTTTAAACGAAATGCAAGAAAAATGCGTATAATTTAACATTCCGTACAAATCATTTGGTGTACACATCAGATTTTTTTACTTCCTTGTACGAAGTAAAAAGGAAGTGTTGTAATCGCGAAAATTCTGAGGCATCATATTTCAACGAAAATATCCATTTTGACCGCTAGCGAATGCAATTTAACGATGTTTTTGCATGACATCTGTACATAATGCCAGAATGAAAGACTCTTTTTCCCAAAAAAAATTATAAAACTTATTTAAAATGGATTTAGATAAGCTTTTTTTCGTGGCGTCTGTATGTACTTACGTATCTATGTATGTATATCTCATAACTTAAAAACGAGTATCCTCAGAACGTTGAAATTTTGTATGAAGGACTGCTATAACATGTAGACGTGCACCTCATATTTTGGTTGCAATACCAAAAGTATAAAAATATATGTATATACATATCCACTTTGTTACTCCGCTTAGTGATCTCAGTTTCTTTAGTCTTATATGTTTGTAAATTGTGCATTTTTTGCTTTAAAAATGATTGAATTATCTTATTGTTATCTTACGGTTAAGGTTTTTATGCCTTTAGTGACTCTGCATGCAATATTTGTAGAGTTATCAACAATTTTAAAGTTTTTTAAAGTGCGGCTAAGCCTATTATTTTGCGATGGCGTCCATGTTTGTTTACATAGGAAACTTGGCAGAATAGCGGATTTGTTGCCAATATAGAGAAACTAAGCTTCGCAACAACAAAGATAAAACCTTATTTTAAAGATCCTTATTTTATTATTGCGAATTAAATCATGCTTAATCCATTCTGGAATTTATTCTAGAAAGTAAGTGTTTAAGATTTACTTCGTAATTTTTAATATACACATTTTTCAGAACATTTTGCTGAAATTATTATTATTGTTTCTGCAGTTTAAATTAAATGAAATATGAATATCCCTTATGGCACTATTCCGTTAGTAAGACATCAGCTAAATATGAAGAAAAAATGAGATGGAAACAATACTAAAACATTATTAGTACGTCATCTACAACAACAACGTCAAATAACCGGGCTCGAGAATTTAACGTTTAAAATGTCGTGGGTCGAGATTTCTAGATTTCGTTTGAAATATCGCCACTCGTCATTTTGAGTATCTTCTATATATTATTATATTCTTCTATATATCGTGGCTCCTCATTTCTAGTTCTCGTTTGAAATATCTTTTGCCAAATTTCGCCATTTTGTGAATAGAAGAGCTGAATTTTTCAATGTCTCTCATAAAGTTTTCTGTTTTTTCTTCATTCCCTTCATTGCAAAATTAAACAGTTTCTGTGCCTTTTAAACCAATTCTTTAACTGCCTTTTAAGTTAAAAATACTTTCTTTTTTTTTCCCCCACTTTCATCGTTGGCTGGAATTGCAAGATCAGAAAAATCTTTATTCTTTGGCTTCTGTTATTTCTGAAAATCCTTCGCCGCTCATTATTTTTGTGCAGTTTGAAAGATTTCTTTTGCTTCGTTTGCAATCGATAAAAGTTCTGTTAAAACTGTTGATAACTACTACCTATAACTGATACCAGAAAGCATTTAATGCTGATGAATGAACCTTGAACATTGAAAAATTAAACAGTTTCTGTGCCTTTTAAACCAATTTTTTTAACTGCCTTTTAAGTTAAAAATACTTTATCTTTTTTTTCTTTTTCCCCACTTTCATCGTTGCTTGGTATTGCAAGATCACACGAATCTTTATTCTTTGGCTTCTGTTATTTCTGAAAATCCTTCGTCGCTCATTATTTTTAAGCAGTTTGAAAGATTTCTTTTGCTTCGTTTGCAATCGATAACTGTTAAAACTGTTGATAACTACTACCTATAACTGATACCAGAAAGCATTTAATGCTGATGAATGAACCTTGAACATTGAAAAATTAAACAGTTTCTGTGCCTTTTAAACCAATTTTTTAACTGCCTTTTAAGTTAAAAATACTTTATCTTTTTTTTATTTTTCCCCACTTTCATCGTTGCCTGGTATTGCGAGATCACACGAGTCTTTATTCTTTGGCTTCTGTTATATCTGAAAATCCTTCGCCGCTCATCATTTTTGTGCAGTTTGAAAGATTTCTTTTGCTTCGTTTGCAATCGATAAAAGTTCTTTAAAACTGTTGATAACTACCACCCAGAAATGATACCAGAAAGCATTTAATTCTGATGAATGAACTTTGAACCACATATGAATGACATTCTTACATTGGTGGAATTAAACTGAAATCTGCAAATAACAAATATAACGCGTAAATGACAAATCGCGTTCTTTAAATCCGCGTTTGACAAAGATTTACTGTAATGCTACAAATATTAATAATGTAGATCGCGACTTTCAGAATTTTATTTTTTTCTACGTTATGATATATATCTCCAAAAGCAAAGATTTATCTTTATATTTCAGAGCTTCGAACTTCGTTACGCTCAATTTTCTCTCGGTTGTGGTAGTCGCATTGATTTAAATCAAAGAAGTCAAAGTGCCGAAATTTTATCTCAGAATTATCCAGCTGCACCACCTCCTCACATGGAATGTGAATGGACAGTAATGTCACCACCGGGAACAAGGATACGAATGGATTTCGAGAATCGTTTTAATATGATTGGAAAGTAAGTATATATAACCTTGCCATAGCGTTGTAAATGGACGCGTCTGAAATTTTCTGAATGTGACATAGGTTTTAAGGACAGAAATTACAAGATAATTTAATTATTTATTCTGGAAAACGAACTAAACTTTTTGTAGAAACCTTACTTAAATCCGCTTAAGTCATTTGTTAAAAGATTAAGAAAAGTACGAGACGAATTGCTTCATTGTATACTAAATTACATTTTTGTTAATGACGTGTATGGAATAAATAGACTTTAATATTCTCCTCGTGGTTAAATGTTTAAATGAAGTGTAGCAAAAATATGTACACTGTGAAAAAAAAAGGGGGGGATACTTCTATTTCTCCTGTGCTACTGCGCCGTCTGACGAAATTCCAGTTGTGTTTTTCGTGTCTCGAAAGCGCGACTTAACGATATATATCAGATTTATGCACAGCATTATTCTAACATAGGTATTTTGACACAAATCGGACTTTTTCTGAAATAATATACCAATGCTTTTCCATATTTCGATTCTGCAACTCAAATTATGCCTAGATATTATTTTGTTTTTCTTTCGGTGAAAACTGTTTGGAGAAATTTAAACACTTTTCAGTCTGCGCCAAGAACTTGGCGATTTTCTTACTTTATAGCAACCTACTTTCTATTAGGAGATAGTATTTTATACTTATTTATTTCCTAACATAAACATGAAGTATAGAACAAGCAAAAAGACATTTATAAATACAAAAACGTAAGTGATGCCATTCACAAAAAGGGTAATGTTATTTTAATAGTTCGCTGGCTTTGCCGCAACCATCCTCCCCACCCTGGTCAACCTCCAGGGGGATGACCAGCTGCACAGGTCGGGTAATGGTATGTCCATTGGTGCGCAGAACACAAGTACGGACTCTTTTGTCGCGGGCCAAGGATTAGCTCCTCAACACGGGCCTTCTTCCAGGTTGTGGCGAGGGTCTAACATCTTCTTGTAGTAGGACAATGTCCCCTTTCCGTATTTTATTTGTTTCAGATGGATTCCGCATTTGATGAAATGTAACGCAAGTCCATCAGATATTCCTTTTGCCCATCTTTTCCAAAAGGAAGTCGATCAAATGTTGACGATTTTTCCACATATGATTTAAATTTGTTTCAGGATTTGTGGGGCTGGAAGGATTAGTGGTTAATTCTTTTCTATGAGGAAGTGCGAAGGTGTTAGCTTCCTCAGAGTCATCTTTTATTCCATATTCGTGGACAATCGGTCTACTGTTAAGAGCGGCTTCAATATCACATAATACAGTGATCAAACCAGCGTCATCCAAAAGAGCCTTACCTAATGTTTTCCGAAGGCATCGTTAATTGAGCCAATCATTCTTTCCCACATCCTCCCCACCAAAGCCGCTCGGGGGGGGCGATGAATTTCAATTTGATGTTGTGGTGGGCATAAAACTGTGTGGCCTTGGCAGAGGATTAGTATCCACAATAACTTCAGCTCTTGTCCGCAGCGCAAGAAAGTTGTGGCATTATCAGTGTACACTGTATGAGGAAGTGAATGTCTAGAGACAAAACGTTGTAATGC